CAGCACCATGCCCAAACAGAGAGAGCCCTTAAACCTGTCAAGACCCTACATCAAGTCTCCTTGCACCTTCTGGGGCTTGCACATCTGGGTGACATTTTATTTCAGGTGGGCTCAGGGACGGGACTTGTCCAGCCCATGACTTCTGCTGGTTCCTAGAGTTGTGAGCACCTACTCCTCACATGCTGGGCACCAAGCTACCACACCCAGCGTACCACAGCTCATGGAGGCGTCACAGCAGCCACGTATATGGGAGTATTTTGGCCCTAATTTACAGGTTATCAAATCGAGGCTCAGAGTGGCTAAATAACTGGCACAGCGCTATAGTAAACCCAGACTCCAAGTTCTCTCCTAGGTAAGTACCTATGCTACGTACTGTTCAGAAATAGGCCATAGGTTGGCAGTATGGCTCAAGTGGTGGACGTGAAGGCCTGAGTTCAAAGCCCAGTACTGTCCAAAAAAAAAAAAATACAAAAGACTAAGCCTGTAGAGGGATGCAGTAGTTTCCAGTGTACTGTCCTCACTTTTTGGAGGGAAAATCCATGGCTCAGAGAGGGCAGAGACTCACTAGGATTAGGCAGTCCCTGGCATTAGCCCTACTGGCAGACCTTAGGCATCCTGGTTTCTATCCAGACTAAACCAGCAGGACCCTTCTCAATCTGGTTATACTTCTGGGACTCAAGGATCTCAGGACCGGAGGGATGAGTCCACTCATGCAAAGACCAAAGAGCCATGGCAGCCCCTCATCTGGGGGTCAAGTCAGAGGCCAATCAAAGGGCTGTCCTATAAAATGCCAGGTGGTAGCCACTCAATCCTACAAACAATCATCTGAGCAAACAGTATTATTAAGCCTCCTTCTAATACGCAAACTGCGGCTCAGTTAACTTGGCAGAGACACACGACTATTAAGTGCCAGTCCTGTTGGCAATAATGGCGCTGATAGGTTTCAGTTCTTACTGCACTCTTAAGCTCCTGTTTTCCTGGGTCACAGTCCTAACTCCCAGGATCACAGTCCAGCCTCAAGTCTAGCTTGAATCCTCCTTCTGCCCCAACCTCCAATCAGCATCTCTCTCTCTCTCTCTGCGCGCGCTCTCTCTCTCTCTCTCTCTCTCTCTCTCTCTCTCTCTCTCTCTCTCTCTCTCTCTCTCTCGGCTCTCTCCCTCTCTCTCGGCTCTCTCCCTCTCCCACCAGGCAATAAGGAATCTCGGCCAGATCACTTCTCTCTCCACATGGTCATTTTGGGCCCACATTTCCTTACAGAACTGGGCTTTGATCCCTGGCACTCTGGCCTGAGAGTCTGTGCTCTTAACCATTCTGACTGCCTTGGAGTGTTAGCATCTAGACTTTGGATGCAGATGAGTCCTGCAGACACTCGGGGCCCAGCAGCCACTGCTAACACTGATGCTGCACCAGCCTGTCCCACAGGTTTCTGGAGGGCAGCAGTTTGCCTGGCAAATACATTCCCCACCACCACCACTTCCATCTCAGCTCTGCCTGAACCTTCTACCACACAAGACTTTTTGTCATGTACCACACAAGGAAGCACCTCAGAAGGAGGAGGCTGCCCTGATCCAGGCTACCATCCAGCATTGGGAAATCCTCTTTGCAAACCACTCCCAGCTCCAGTACAGCCAAAGTTGTTCTGGGTGAGCAGATGTAAGTCCCAACAGCTGGGCCCAATGGCCAAGGAAGGCTACTCACCCCCCACTATGGTCCCATTTTCTTTTCTCCAGCATTATCACACTCACTAGTTCTGACATGTGACAGGCACCACATTCTCTGAGCACGTCCTCTGCCCAGCTCTGCAGGACACTGGGTGTATAGGCACCACAGGGCTGGCCTGCAGGGAGCTCAGTCCAGTGAGGAAAAGCGGTAGTAAGTCCTGCAAGCAGGTGATGTGAAGCACAAGGATGAGGATGTGAGGAAGCACACCTCCATGGGGATCAGGAAAGGCCCCCATGCCTCTGTATGTGCTGGGAATGCTGAACTTGGACCTCTCCATCTCTTAAGACCTAGTTCACAAGCCATCTCTGGGAAGCTTTCCTAAGCTTCCCCTTGTCCTGCTTCATCAGGACTAATTGCTTCTACCTCTGTTCAGCCAGATCCATGCTGCTTGGGCTTTGGCATCCTCATTTCATCCTGGTTGGTTTCCACATCCTATCCTTGGCCTCCGGAGAGCAAGAACAGAGCCCAGGGAAGGGCCTGGGCATAAACCAGCCTCAGTGAAGATTGTGGTTGGAAACAGAAACAAACAGGTCTTGCCACAATCTTCCAAGCAACCTCTGCTAACACAGTGCAAATGGATGGGCTTTTAGCTCCAGAACACCCTCGGGACCCTACGGCCTGGGGGAGGGTCAGTGTCCTGGGTTCCATGCTAGGAATCCATCTCATAGGACCGGGCCCCGCAGACCTCACTGCCTAGGCTCTGAAAAAGCTTTCTTTTAATTTCTAATTTGTGGCTTTTAATGAATTAGCACACATTATTATTTGTGACAAATCCATTATATATACATACATATACATTATATATATATATATATACACACACACACACACACACACACAGTATACCTTGCACAAGTTCCCCTACTTTCTCCTCCTCACCTTTTCAAAGTGTTTGGTGGGTTCCGTTACGCTGTCTTCATATGTATATATGTGGCATACTTCCATCCTCTTCACCCCTCAGTATCCTAGCCTTCCCCCCTCCCCCTTATTCTCCCCTCTAGACAATCCCATCATCATTGTCATCTTAGGTCCAAGTTCCACAATGAGTGAGAACATGTGATATTTAGCCTTTTGAGCTTGGCTTAGCTCACTAGGCATGACCTCCGATTCCACCCATTTTCCTACAAATGACATATCTTCATCTTCCTTCATGGTGAGCAATATTCCATGGTATGATATGTGTGTATATAGATGTATTTTCTCTTTACCCATTCTTTGGTTGTTGGACACCTCACAGTTTGGCTATTGTGCAGAGTTGCAATAAACATGGGTATGTAGGGATCTCTTGTATATTTATTTACATCTTTCAGATATTATGCCCACATTTTTTTTTTTTTAATGATAGAGTCTCACTATGTAGCCCAAGCTGGCCTTGACTGGCAATCCTCCTGCCTCAACCTCCTGAATGCTGGGACTATAGGCATGAGCCACCATGCCTGGCTTGGCAAAACCCTTTCACATGAAATGTCTTGAGGTGATGCTCTAACTACATTCCATCACTTAATGAGTTACTAATAGATGACTCTGAGGTTCCGAGAGGTAAAGGAACTTGCCCAAAGTGCCACAGACAGTAGAGTATAAACTTGAATCAGAATCCATCTCCATCTGAGCTCTCCAGCCACTGCTACAACCTGTAATGGTGGGAGAGGGCAGCAGAAGAGCTATGTCCTGACCTCCTCTCCCATTCTGCTTTAGCTGGTCATCTTGAACATCCAGTGTTTCATCCATCAGACAGCATGGGTGAAATGCTCCTCACTGAATATAGCCATGGCATGGGCTACCACATCAGCCTCCTCTCCAGGAAGTCCCATACTCACCTGCAGCCCACCAACCTCTGCTACCAAGCCCTCTGCAGCCACTCATCCCTGCCACCTGGACTGTGTGGCCCAAGCCTGCACTACCTGGCCATGCACCTCTTTAAACTCTAGCCTCCATTGACAAGGAGGTGTCACGTGGCTAAGAGCCCCCAAAATCCATATTCAGTGTTTCTAAATCTGGAATGTAGAACTACAAGAGGCCTTAAGGATCTTCTCTCCAACCTTCTCAAATAACTCAGGATAGAGGGCCATCATGGGATGGGGATTGTCCTATATCATAGAACTGGTATATCACAGAACTAGTCTGATCCTATTTAAGGCCAGTGAGGAGACTGACACTATCTTGTCCATTGATGGGTGCTTTTCTAGCCACAAAGGCTTCTCTCTGGTTGCAAACACCATAGGACCTGCATGTCCACCACACAGCAGGTCTCCAGGCCTCATTTGGAGCCCTGGCCTTTCTGCAAGGCTGCCCACTGAATCTTGACTGGAAGCGGCCAAGTTCTGCTTCCCCTGTCAGGGAGGGTATGAAAGTACTGCAGAACAGAGAACATGGCAAATGTCCATTCCTTCACTTCCGTTTCATCTGACAGTTCAGGAGTATCATGTGACCCACAGTGGGGCAGCACTGGATCCGTTTCCCATGTCCACAGTACTTGAACACAGGAGCCTGTCTCAGCAGGATCAGAGCCCTTCTTTGTCCATCTCTCAAGTGTTTTGTGACTTAAGGGCCTAATGATTAGGCCAATGAACATGGCTCCTCTATGCACCCCCTGCCATCTCACCTGGGAGAGGCTGAGAAAGTACTTTCTACAATTGTTACTGTAAAAAGGTTTCAACCTACATAGGCTGAAAAGCTCTTATTTTACCAGGCATGGTGGCACATGCCTGTATTCCCAGCACTCAAAAGGCTGAGGCATAAGGATCCTGAGAGTAAGGCCAACCTGAGCTACATAAAGAGACTGTATTTAAAAAAGAAAAGAAAAGACAAAGGGGCTGGCCACTGATGGCTCATTCCTATAATCCTAACTACTTGGGAGGATGAGATCAGGAGCACCACAGTTCGAGGCCAGCCCAGACAAATAGTTCTGGAGACCCCATCTCCAAAGTAAGCAGAGCAAAGTGGACTGGAGGTGTGGTTCAAGTGGTAGGATGTATGGTTTGCAAGTGTGAAGCTCCTGAGTTCAAACTGCAACTCCACCAAAAAAAAAAAAGAAAAAAAAAGCTGGATATGGTAGTGCATGCCTGTAATCTTAGCCATGAGAAGCAGAAATTGGGAGGACTGCAGTTCAAGGTCAGCCTGAGCAAAAAGAGAGACCCCACCTCAAAAAAAAAAAAAAAACAAAAAAAACCTGACAGGCATAGGTAGAAGGATTACAATCTGAGGCCTGACCCACGTAAAAACATGAGACCTTATCTGAAAAATAACTAAAGCACAAGGTGTCAGGAAGTGTGGCTCAAGTGGTAAAACACCTGTTGAGTTCAAACCCCAGTACCATCAAAAAAAGTTTTGTTTTTTTTTTTAAAGAGCCTTATTTTATCTTTTTGGTTTAGTGCAGCATCTCCCCCTTCAGCACTGACAATTTAGGGTAGATAACTCCTTACTGTGGGGGGCCAACCCATGCACTGCAGGATATCTAGAGGCATCCTTGGCCTTAACCCACTTGATACCAGTGGCACCTACCAAGCTGTGATGTCTACCAAGGGCAAAACTAGCCCTGGTTGTGAATCACTAGCCCAAGGATACAGTCTGTATAGATCACCCCTTATCACAGTGTGCTTAAGTGAAAAGCTGTGCAGTAAGTCCATGCCAGGCATGGCTGGGTACCTGTGCACAGAAGTGCATGGATCAGCAGGTGTCAGCATCATTTCACAGACCAAGTAGGTTTCAAGCAGCAGTCCACAATCCTCAGGCTGCAAAGCAGCAGACACCAGGATCTCACCTCAGGTCTAACAGCTGTCATTCTAAGCTCTTTCTCCTCCCCCACCCCAGCCCTTGCCCTGCCCATCCAGTTGACAGTAGGGGCTGGGACTGGAAAGCAGAATAGAAGCTGGCTAACAACCCACCTGCCTTAGGAAAAGGGCTGGGTATGAGGATGAAGGTCACAGAAGAACCCTTGTCAGGTGCTTGTCAGTGTTCAACCTGCTCGTATCCAGTGCTTCATCTCCGTGTCATAGTGCCTGAGAGGGAGTCCTCCCTAACTAGAGATAAGTGGGAAGGCACAGGGGAGCCTGCTTTGTCCCGTGACAGGAAGATGGCTAGTAATGGCTGCTACAGGGAACCAGGCAGTGCCTGCTGGGGTTGTTGCTGACACAAAGCTCTGGGTCTTATGAAGGGAGACAGATGGGAAGTCTGTACCTGGGGAGTAAGAGAATTGCTCAAGTAGAGCCCCCGGAAGGAAAACTGCATGGGTCTTTGGAAGTACTCCCCAGAAACAAGGAAATATACAACACAAACCCCAGATCAGCCCAATCAAGGACAGCAGCTGTGTCTTCAGCTTTGCTACAGTAACAACCCTCAAATCTCAGTGCTATTACAACACTTGCCATTAGTGTTACAATCAATGGCTGCAGGCCAGCTGCTTCCATTCTGCTGCATGTCTTACCATACTGGTACCTAGGCTGAAGGGACAGCCCCTACTTGGGAAAGGGGATCTCATGGCAGAGGCAAAGAGCATAAGCCTGCCATGTAACCTACCACCCACCCTAGCTCCTCAGGCTTCTGTCAGAACAGGCTGTCACATGTGCTTACATCACTCTGCACGGGCAGCAGGAAGTATGCTCCCCCAGGATGGGATGGGCACTTCGGGAAGTCACACAGCTATAGGTAAGAATACAAAAAAATCTCTAGAAGCAGGGAACAAATACCTGAAACAAAAATACAACTTATGACAGTGACCCAGCATTCAAAAGTATTTTCCAGTGGAAAAGGCATAAAATCGTAGCCAGATGCGGTGGTGCTCGCCTGCAATCCTGACATTCACAAGGCTGAGGTGGGAGCATAATTTGAGCCCAAGAGTTGAGGAGGAAATTGGGTCACTGACCAAGTTTGTCACAGTTCTCACACTGCAAAGATTAAAGAAACTGGCAAACTTTTGAGGGGCACCAAGGATCCCAGTTGATACAGTCTTTGTAAATGCAGAAACACGGTGTGGCTTTCCTGACCCCATTCACCCCACAGTTATTCACAGCACCCTCTTCCAGCTCCCATCAGTGCTGGTGAAATAAATGGAGGCCAGAGTCTCTCAGACTTAAAATTCTAGGCAAAGTTGGTTTAGTGCCACAGAGGGATGTCTTCTCTATGGTGCCCAAGGCCATAAAGGTGCAGAACCATGTCACCAGATCCTGAGTCAGTCACTACTGGCCAGTGAATTACCAGAGCCAGTTGCTGTGGGAACTGCAGAAAGTCCCTTCAGAAAGTAACGCCAAGGACATGGTGACCAAGGCAGAGCTGAGAATCCACTGAGGAAAGTGATGACCAGCTGGTGTCCATACTTGGTCAGAGACCACAGTTCAGAGTCACAGAAGCTCCTCCAGCACTAGGCTAGAAAGTACTGTCCCCAGAGGGACCGGAAAAAAGTGCCAGACTTGACGTGTATATCCAGCAGATTCAAGTGTACAAGATTCCAGCAGAGGAAGGTGAGGGAAGAGATCCGGAGGCCTGGCTTATGCAGCCTGCTTGACACTTTACCTGTGCACCTTTCTCTCCCGGAGATAATTCCTGCAAAAAGGTGAGGATCCTACACAGATCAGAAATGCAGGTGTCAGGGCTTTTACAAAGTACCTGCAGGGAACACCACAAAGAGAGGGGTTAATTGAATTATAATCTTAATCATCCATAGACCTTCCCAACTGAAGGTGAACTTTTGATGTGGGTGAATATAAAATGCAAGTTCAGCACATTTATTTGTTTGATTGTTTTTAAGTATGGTAAAATTGGCATGACCTTCTTCCCCTTACAACCTAACAGAACCTCCAGGCCATGCCTGTGGCTACACATGAAACAAAACTATAAAACATGCTTTCATTCATTTATTCCATATTCTGTGAGTGACTAGGGCAAGATAGGCCCTGTGCTGAAAACACAGAGATTAAAAAATGAACACACAAAAACTATTGTCCTTGTTCTCAAGTTCAGACCTAGGGGAGGGAGATAAGGAACCAATTAGGAATAGCAAGTCACAACTGTGGAAGGGTTTGTGAGTTACAGCCTTAGCCTGAGGAGACCTGATTCCCTGTCAAAGAGGGGAATCAGGAAAGATGTCTGAGAAGATGCTATGTCGAACATGGCTTTAATTGGGGGAAGGATTGGAGGAGGGGAAGCCAGGAGGTGCAGATAACCAGAGCATTTGCTGTTGCTAGGGCATAAAGCAAACAGAGTGAGACAAGTCAGAGAGGAGGGAAAAGCCTTGGTCTCCCAGGTCTAAGAGTGATGGCATTACTTAGCGGGCCAGGTCTGAACAGAAGGGCCTGGTTCTTGGCTCCACCCAGTTCAGAGTCTAGTGCTGCCAGAAACCAGTCTTGAAGAGTTTCTTTCCTATGTTAGTAACTTAAAAAGTAATCACTTTCAATAGCACATACATGAGCTGAAAGTATGAAATTGGTTTTCCTCCACAGACTGCCTTCTGTTTAGAGTTCTCCTTTATTTTTTGGAGATAGGATAGGGTGGACCTCAGCCCTTTAAAGAATTCTGGGTAATTTGCTAACTACCAAGAAAATGAACAACTGAACATTTTTCCATAAACTAGGAAAAGGGTAATCTGGGACAAGAGAAAAAAACTCCACTAAGAGAAGTATTGAACTGATGTGAAGAAATCTTCCCTCTTTCCTCCCAAGTTAAACCAGAAGCATCAAGACCAGCTGAACACCCTACCTAGTTAGTCAGCACTTCACCAACTCCTGTCACTCTGTCCTAGGCCTCTCTCCAATCCATCTCCTCCTACTTCAGGCCTCACCATCAAACAGGACACTTCAGATGTGTATATTCCTCTGTGCATTTCACCTAAACAAACACCCTCTGCAACTCCACACCCCATGTCAGGATAAAGCTTATGCTCCTTAGCAAGATATTCAACACCATACTTCATTTGTGGTCCTAACTCAGATCTGCAGTCTCATTTCCTCTTACACCCCTCCTCCCTCCTTCTCCAATACGCTGGGCTCTTTTGGTCTGCGTACAAAAAAAGCACTTGCCTTTCTCTCATTTTGCTCAAAGCTAGAGAAAAGTAGTCCAAGGATAAGCTTGTTAATCCACTAAGGACACTGTCTTACAAAAGTTACTGGGAGAAACAGATGCTGAATCCTGCTTGCTACCATTGCTAATAACAAAGATGCCCTGCTGTAGTGAACTGTGCTATGCAGTGTACAAGGGCACCTTGACTTCTACCTGCTCACTAATTCTTAAGTGCCTGAGAAATGTGTAGGCAAGAGTCAGTACTCCCATCTAGAGGTGAAGGAATTGCCACAGAGAAGCAAGTGTGCTCAGGGTCACATAGTCGGGCAATAAAAGTGTGTCTACTTCAAAAGCAAAAGCTCTAGCCGGGTGCCAGTGACTCACACCTATAATCCTAGCTACTCAGGAGGCAGAGATCAGGAAGATTGAGGTTCAAAGCCAGGCCAGGCAAATGGTTCATGAGACCCTATCTCAAAAATACCCATCACAAAAAAAGGCTGGCAGAGTGGTTCAAGGTGAAGGCCCTGAGTTCAAGCCCCAGCACCGCCAAAAAAAAAGCCAATTCTCTTTCCATATAACAGCATCAAGGGACACAAGTGCATTAGGAAAAGGAGGCCTTCCCTGATGCTTCCAGGTACAAAGACCAGGCAGCTTTTCCCTTCTGAGAATAGCCCCACTCACCTCCCCGCCCCCTTTGTCTGGGGTATCTCAGCTGTGATGCAATGGGCTCTCATCACACTACAACCTGTTTAGCCAAGGGCGGGCCCAGGCCCTGTGACTGTCACATCAGCCAAATTTGTTTTTAGAGAAAGGAACGGGTGAGGCAATCACTGAGCAGAGAACTAAAAAGCTGGTTGTACTCTTAGGAAGGAGCCTGAGCATCCTCCCCATACTCAGCCCCACAGAGGTGCTCACCTGGGGTGCTGCACTGCCTGTAGCAGGGTGCTTGAGGGGGGCACCTGGTAGAGTTCTGCCCTGTCCTCATCCTCAAAGTAGACCTGCAAGATTAATCAGGAGTGAGAGTCAGAGACAATAAGGGCTGCACCAGTATCAGGCATGCTGAGGCCAAGCCCAGAGGAAAGCTAGAGATGGCAACTGTTGTGAGCTGAATGTCTCTTCACATAGCTATGGTCTAAAGTGCTTTGACACTGGGAAAAAGGTTTTCATCATCAACATTCTCTAAAGACAGAACCAAGGTTCAGAGAAGGGAACATCTTGTGAATGTCACCCTGCAAGAGAGAAGCGGGCACTCAAGCCCATGCCTATGTAGCCTTCTCTTCCCTAGCAATTTAGTCCTTTACCCATTAGGTATGTAGGGCAGAAAGCCATGGTGGCCCAGAGGAAAGAAGAACCTGAGCAGGGAGAGAAGGATGTGTGTGCAGGGCATCAGAGCCCAAGCTGGGTGGAGGGTCTCAGAGCTGGACCAATAGACAAGGCATATGTGCTGGGAGTTGAGTGGTCTGAGCAGGGTAAGAAGGGCTTCTTCACACCACAGCTGCCCGGGGTGTCATGTCAGAGTCCAAATGGAGTGATGAAAATGTCCAAGTATGGGCCAACTAGAATGAGGTGTCAGGGCCCCAGCAGAATGAGTAGGGCCACTGGTTATGGCAAAGGATGGCATGTTATGTTGGAGATAGAACTCGAGCAAGGTGAGGAGGATGTTCACGCCAGATGGCTGAACAATGTGGGATGTTGGAGTCTGCAAAGGACAAGTATGGCACAAGTATGGCAGGGGCAACAGCCTAACATGGGCACCAAGAGTCACAGAAAGCTCAGGATTTCCATGCAGGAGAGGAGCCAGTGGTAGTGACAGAAGGGGGACTGCAAATAAATAAGCACATTAAAGATACTAAAGCCATTGGTACAAATAGAAAGGAAGAAAACAAGTCCCGTGGTGCTGAATTTAATTGGAAATCTCTCTCTCTCTACCTCTTCCCCGCTCTCCTTCCCTTCCTCCCTTCCTCCTCCTAGCTGTGAGGCACTGGAGCAGTGAGCCCCCTTCCCTGGTATTAACAGTATATCTATAGCACATATCATTCTCCACTTCAAAGAACCATGAAAAAATGGATGATTTCAGAGCTGGGACAAGGAAAGTACAATTTAAACCTGGAACATCTTGTTCCAGAGAGCAAGTGCTTAATGAAGAAAAGACAAAAGACACAGAAACAAATGTGAAGGGATTTTAGGACAATTTAAGCATGAAATAAACTATCACAGTGACAGATTATAATTCACTGAATTAAAGAAGAAACCATAAATCCACTGATATAAACAAATGTTGAAGGTTTGAAAGGCAATGAGATATTTACACCATTTCAAAGTACCCCCTATAAAATATTAATTATAAAGGATAAAGAGTAACTGGAGCTGCGTGTAGTGACACGTCTAAAATCTCAGTTATCAGGAGGTTGAAGTGGGAGGTAGAGGCAGGAGAATCTCAAGTTCCAGGTTAGCTTGGGCAAAGTTAGCGAAACTCTCAAAATCAAAATTTTTAAAAGTAACAACAAAAAGGGCTGAAGGCATAGCTTAAGTGGTTAGAGTGCTTACTTAACAAGTATGAGGCTCTGGGTCCAATTCCCAGTACCAAAAATCAACAGAAAAGAGTAATTATGGAGTAGAGAAAGAGGTTTCTCTCAATCAGGCAATCAGAGTGAACATCATCAGTAACGGGACAAATGGAAATCAGGCACCACCTGATAAGATGTCATGTCTGTAATGTTCCAGCCAAATATGTATAACCCAAACCTGCTCACAGGAAGCATGAGACAAACCATGCAAGCAGGCACTCCACAAAACACATGGTCTGTAATCTACACAGGTAACAATCAGAAAAGTGGAGGGAAGTCCATGGAACTCTTATTCAAGGAGACTAACAGACATCATCACCAAACACAGCAGGTGCTTCTAAAAAGGAGCACAGGGCTGAGAACACTCCTGGGGCAACCTGTGAAACCTGGATGGAGCCTGGGGCTAGATAACAATAATTTGTCCATGTTAATTTCCTGACTCTTATGGCTGTGTGGGGATTATGAAGAAAATACCCTCTGTTTTTAGAAAACATACACGAAAGTACTCAAGGTTATTGGGACATCAGCTGGCATCTTACTCTCAAATGATTAGAAGACTAATGTTTGTGGTTTTTGTTTGTTTGGGATTTTTGGTAGTACTAAAATTTGAACTCAGGGCCTTATGCTTGCTAGGCAGGCTCTTTACTAATTGAACCATTCCTCCAGTACTTTTTTGGTTCAGGTATTTTTCAGGTAGGATCTTGTGTTATTGACCAAGACCAGTCTCAGACTGCAACCCTCCTGTGGTCTCCCATATAGCTGAGATTACAGGTGTGAGCCACTGAACCTCGCTTTTTTTTTTTCCCTGCAGTACTGGGGTTTGAACTTAAGCTGGCTGAACTGCAATTCTCTGGATCTCCACCTCCTGAGTAGGTGAGATAAAAGGCAAGCCACCACACCCAACTGTCGTTTTATTTTTGAGACAAGGTCTCATTATGGCTTTCCATTCATGATCCTCCTGCCTCAGACTCCCAAGTGCCTAGGATTGCAGGCATGCATGAGCATACCCTAGCAGAAGATAAATTCTTTTCCTCCTTTTTTTTCCCCCAGGCTGACCTCAAACTCACTATGTATTCTAGACTGGCCTTGAACTTGATTCTCCTGCCTGAGCCTCCCAAGTGTTGGGATTACAAGGCATGTGCCACCACATGAGGCAGAAGATATATTATTTAATTTGTTAAATCTGACTTTTTTTAAATCCTAAAATAAGTGGAGCCAGGTGCCAGTGGCTCACGCCTGTAATCCTAACTACTCAGGAGGCAGAGATCAGGAGGATCATGCTTTGAAGCCAACCTGGGCAAATAATTCTTACAAGACCCTAACTCAAAAAACCCTTCACAAAAAAGGGCTGGTGGAGTGGCTCAAGGTGTAGGCCCTGAGTTCAAGCCCCAGTACTACAAAAAAAAAAAAAAAAAAAAGTGGACTATTTTTCAGCCTTGAAAGGGAAGACTGAGCCAGGCAAGGTGGCACATGGCTATAATTCCAACTACTCAGGAGGTAAAGGTAGGAGTACAGAAATTTTGAGGCCAGCCCGAGCAAAAGGTAACAGCGGGCCCCCTATCTCTAAAACAAAAAGGCTGGAAGCATAACTCAAGTGGTAGAGCACTTACTGCAAGGCCCAGTGTTCAAGCTCCAGTACCACCAAAAAAGAAAAGAAGAAAAGGAAGGTGACACATGCTACAACATGGACAAACAGATACTGTATGACTCCACTTACATGTGGTATCCAGTGTAGTGACAGGCACAGAGACAAGCAGCAGGCATGGGCTGGGGCAGAAGGGGAAAACAGGGAGTTACTGTGTAATGAGTGCAGTCTTAGCTTGGAATGATGGAAAGTTAGGGAAAGGGATGGTGGTGATGGCTGCAAACAATGTGAATGTGCTTAATGCCTCTGAGCTGTGCTAAGAATGGTCAAAATGGTTATATTTTACCACAATCCCAAACCAAACCAAACCAAACCAAACCAGTTAATCTCTATTCCTGCCCCGCCCCCCAAAATCCCCAGAGGAACAAAATATAACTTCTCTTACCTCCAAATTATCAGGGTAGTATTTTTGCTCCAAGTCCCAAGAGGGTGTTTCACTGAACATCACCATCAGATGGTCAATAAACCTAAGGATGTAATATGTACTTTCTGGGCATCAACAACTCATGATCTGCTTTCCCACGTCAGTCCCTGGACACCAATCCACCCAGATAAAAAGAATGGATAAAGCACAAGACAGGCTTGACCCATTTTGACAGCAGTGACCAAAATGTGTACATGTAGCACTAGTCCTATGACATAATTTTCTTTAAGCAGACTCAGTTACAAACATTTCTTACAGCTGGGCACCCGGAGCTCATGCCTGTAATCTTAGCTACTTGGGAGGCTGAGCTCAAGAGGATGGCAGTTAGATGTCAGCTGGGCAAAAAGGTCATCAGACTGCCATCTCCAAAATAACCAGAGCAAAATGGACTGGAGGTGTGGCTCAAGCAGTAGAGTACCTGCTTTGCAAGTACAAAGCCCTGAGTTCAAACCCAAGTCCCACCAAAACAAAAAACAACCCATTTCTTACATTTAGCCACATTCTAAGCATTAACTCTATTAAATCTCAAGTTATTATTTTATATATTTTCTAGTAAACATACACTTAAATTTTTTTTGTGTACTACCTAAAACGATTTCATACTTCACCAGAGGTATTTACCACTCTTTGGTAAATACTATACTTGGTGTTAGGCATACTAGCCTAGACAGTACGAAGGTAAGACTTGCATCTGTCATTGCAAACTTAGTAAATGAGGTTCAGTCAGCTACAGGATAGAGGGGTTATATCAAAATAGACTGTATGAAAGTCTTTAAACTATTCTCTTCCTTCCTCAACCAAAAATCTACTTGCCAATACAACAGGGAAAGCTGGAGGCATGGCTCCAAGTGTGAGGTCCTGAGTTCAAATCACAGTACTACCAAAAAAAAAAAAAAGGTCAACAGAGAGAAGCATGCAAGTGAGAGCAGAGGGCTCAAGGAAGTACCTGGAGTCCTCGTGAAAAGCAGAAATGAAGTCGGATTGGGCGTACTCTGGATATAGAAAGAGTACAGGCCAACTCAGCCTGCCCTTGTCATCTAGACTCAGCCGGGCTCCATAGGGGTTCTCCAAGCTAAGCCCGTCCAGGAAAATCTCACCTAGACCATCTGAGGCTGAATCTTCATCCTCACCAGCAGCTTCAGAGATGAGCCTAATGTTCCTAGCCTGGATTAAAAACAGAAACAAACACACACCAAAAAAAATACTTCAGGTGGCTGCTGGGACCCAGAGCACACATTCAGTATGTCACTGACACTAGCACATACAAAGTGGGAGAGCTGACTCAATTCAGGTGGTCTGACTCCAGAACCTGGGCTCCTTTGTCACACTGCTTCACCAAAGCAGAAGGAAACAAACATGGTCACACAGGCAGAGTGTCCCAAGAAAGGGCCCCAGGAGGCTTCAGAGGACTAGTGGGTTTCACAGACTATAGGACCTGTTGTTTGAGAACTCACCTTGATGGCCTGGAGTAAAGCCTCATTCTGATTCTGCTCCTTCTTTTCTTTCAACTTTGCTTTCCTTACATCCCTCTCTTCAGTTCGCTGGAAATGAAATTCAGATGCATCAACTCCAGGGAACTTGCTTCCTGCTCTTTTACTCCATGCTCCTGTGTCAAGGGGTGCCTGCCAGTGGCTGATTCAGCTCAATAAACATGCATGAAGCACATGCCTAGGTGTCAGATGAAGTGTCGGCAGAAAATTAAAATCTTGTTTCTATATCCAAGTAGCACCCAGTCTACTGAGAGGTCCAGACAAGAAAAAGGGCCAAGTGTTACAGGTACTACTCTGGTAGTGTCAACTGAGTGTAATGACACAGAGGGAGTGACTAAGTCTGCCCCACTGAGGTGGGCTTAGACAGACCAGGAAGATGCCACCAATAAAGGAGAAAGGGCATCTCCATACAGTAACCAACACTGGGGAAGACAAGTGCCCTATAGGGAATTTCAGCTTCTCTAGCATGGCTAGAGAACTCAGGTCAAGAATTTATCAGAAGTTATGCCTTTTGCAGTAATTATAATTCATGAAAGAAAAACACCACCATTCTACTCAATCTAGCAAAAACATAATTCAGATTTCCTTTTCCTGCCAATCTACCCAACACCAACAGATCCCACTTTCACCCTAAGGATTGCAGATTTCCTGGAATTTGCCAACCTTTTTGCAAAGCACAATGCAGCAGATATTTTAGGTTTGGCAGACAATTTGTGGTCTCTGCCGCATGTTATCTGGTTTTGCTTATTTATAATACTGTTGAGAATGTGAAAAACATATTTAGTTCACATAATGTACAAAAACAGCTACAGGATGGATTAGGCCTATGGGTCAGATTGCTGACTCCTGCTCTAAAATAAAGCACCAATCACCCCTCACCTTCCCCACAAAGGCTAACACAGATCTTCTTTTTCTGGTGAACAAAGTCTATCCTTTCAGGGAGACAATAGCTCATAATTCTTGGCTGTTCCTTCTCCAATCCACTCTGCCAAGAGACAGTCATGAAACTTCTTTCTGCTGTCAAAATTTTGATCACACTTTAAAAGGTGTCCCACCCCCAGGACACATACTAAGACTACATCCACTTCTGCCTTCCCAGTTAGTTACACTGGTCTTATCCACATTATGATAGGGATGGTGAACTGGGTTGTTTTTACTCTGGTTTGCAGGAAGCAAGTAGGTAGGTGCGGCTTACTGCTATCTCTCCTGAAATGTGGGATCTCAACAGTCCGTATAAAGTGGGATGGCTACCCTTTCAGAAGAAGCTTGAACTGTGGGGTGTGCTGCCTTCCTTTTTTACAAAGGTTCTCACTATGTTGCCAGGCAGGCTGGTCTCCAACTCCTGGGCGCAAGTATCCTCCCACCTCAGCTTCCTGAGTACTGAGATTACAGGTGTGCACACCACACCTGGCTTACACTGACTTTTTTTCTTTTCTTTTTTTTTGCAGTGTTGGGCTTGAACTTGGGGCCTACACCTTGAGCCACTCCACCAGCCCTTTTGTGTGATGGGGTTTTTTTTGTGACAGAGTCTCATGGACTACTTGCCTGGGCTGACTTTGAACCATGATCCTCCTGATCTCTGCCTCTTGAGTACAGGGGTGAGCCACTGGCACCTGGCTTATGCTGCCTTTTAAAAAATCAACTTTGAAATGACCCAAGCCTTGTATGCACATATGAATAATAAAAAAAAATCAACTTTGTTGAAAATAATTTATGATTTTAAGAGCAAAGTTTGATGAATTTTTACAAATGTACATATCGGCAGCCCATCACCATTTCTACCCTGAGAAACTTCCCTCTGCCTCTTTGCAGTCAATCCTCCTTTCATTCCATCACTGATAAGGTTGTTTATTTTTATTATCAAATAATATTTCTTCACATGAACATATCACAATCTGCTTATCTATCCTGTTGATGGACACAAATCCTGTTTCTGAGTTGTTATAAACAGAATAGTCTAAGAACACGTTTTATGAACTAACTTCCCTTAAACACTAAGACATGAAATTGCTGGATAGGTGTTCAAAAAAAAAAAATTACACTGATCTCCAAAGTCACTGTACCATTCTATATCCACTGGCAACAGCTCAAACATCTAGTTACTCACATCTTCATCAATATTTGGTACTGTCATCATTTTAAAATTTTAACCATTCAGGCAGGTATAAATTGGAATCTCACTGAGATTTAATCTGCATTTCCCTGGTGACTGATTATGCTGAACACATTTTCATGTGTTCCCTGTAAATTTTTTGAGAAGTGTCCCTATTTTGCCACATTTTTAAAATTTTGGAGTTTTGTCCTTTTCAAAGAGATTTCTCTATGTATTCTGGATATAACTCCTTCATTGTATAGATATATTACAATCCTCCCATTTTATGGCTTTCCCTTTAATTTTCTTGATATCTTTTGCAGAACTAGAACTTTTTTGTTGACTAGGTTCCACTTAATAATTTGACTTATTCAGGATGTGATGGTACATGCCGATAACCCTAGCTACTCAAGAGGCAGACATCAGGAGGACAGATGTTTGAGGCCAGCCTAGGCAAAAAGTTAGCAAGATTCCATCTCAACCAACAAGCCTAGCATGGTGGTGCAAACCTGTAGTCCCGGCTACTCAGATTGCAGACTGAGGTCAGTCCCAGGCAAAAAATGAAACCCTATCCAAAAGTTAACTAAAGCATAAAGAGCTGGAGGCTTGGCTCGAGTGGGAGAGCACCTGCCTAGCAAGTGCAAGGGGCTGAGTTAAAGCCTAGGTACCATCAAAAAATAAACATAAAATAAATAATTGTAATAATTTTGTCTTTTATGGCCAATTTTTTAAAACAGAGGTTTAATTCACTAACCTAAAATTAACTATGAACCATTGCAAAGTATGTAACTCAGTGACATTCAGTGTTGACATGCAACCAATGCTCTGTGAAATTTCCAATACCCTGGAAAGTAACCTCATATTCATTAAGCAATCACCTTGCATTCTACCCTTCCCACAATCCCATAACACTAATATGCTTTCTGTCTCCACAGATTTACCCAATTAGGATGTTTCATATAAATGGAATCACACTGTATGTGCTCTTGTGTGTCTGGCTTCTTTCACTTAGATTACTGTTTTTGAGGTTCACCTATGTTCTATAGCATGTATCAGTCCTTCATTTATTTTTAAGGCTGCATCATACTCCACTATATGGCTACATCACATTTCTTACCCACTCACATGCACATTTTCCCTCCTCATTTAATCCTCATGAAAACTTCTTTTCAAAGATGGGACTGAGCTTCACAAATATCAGGGGCTTTCCAGAGGCTGGTGGAGTGGCTCAAGTGGTAGAGCGCCTGCCTAGCAAGCATGAGGCCCTGAGTTCAAACCCTAGGGCTGCCAAAAAAAAAAGGGGGGGAGTTGTCTAAGGCCAAACACATCAGCAGTGGCAAATATGTTTAAGGCCAGGTGTGGTAGCTCACATCTTAACATCAGCTACTCGGGAAGCAGAGAGTGGGAAGATCTCAGCTAGAGGCCACCCCAAGCAAAAAGTTATCAAGACCACCATCTCAACAAACAAGCCAGGCATGGTGATACATGCCTGTCATCTGAGCGACACAAAGGATCATGGTCCAGGCTGGCTCCAGTATAAACTCAAAACCCTACCTTAAAGATAAACTAAAGCAAAAAGGGTTGCAGTATGGCTCGAGTGGTAGAGCACCTACCTAGCAAGCTTGAGGCCAAGTTCAAACCCAGTAGTACCACCAAAAAAAAAAAAAAGTTAGTGTTTAAACTCAAATTTGCTGCACTATCCCCATAGTGTTCCTAATGTTCAATCTTCAAGAAATTAGGCTCAAGCATCACTTCTCTCAGCAAACCTTCTACTATATCCTACTATCACACACATTACCGTATGTACTTGCTGACCTCTATTTGCTGGTTTGTTTACTTGTGTCCTCCACAGAGTTCCAAGGGTAAGATTGATTTTGGTGGATTTTTTTGTTTGTTTTTTGCAGTGCTGGGGACTGAACCCAGGGCCTCATGCACGCAAAGCACACATTCTGCCATTGAACTACATACATTCCCAGTGCCTAGGTTTTGGGTTGTTTTTTTTTTTTTTGCAGTACTAGGGACTGAACCTAGGGCCTTGTACATGCTAGGCAAACACTTACCACTGAGCTATATCCCAAGCCCTAGGTTTTGTTTTTAACGAGGAAAAACTTCAATGCCTTGAGAAAGACAATCTGGGGGATGGTGTCTATAACCAACCTTCAGCTTGTCTGCTTTGGCCCTTGTCTCCAGAAGTTTCTTCTCCTTGGCATCTATTTGCAGCCCCTCATCACACCATTTCACAGCCTCAGCAAAGTGTTTCAGTTCCAGATGGCACAGGGCACCTATAGAAACCACAGCCCTTAGGATCTAGGAACAGTATTTACAGAAAGCACCTACTTTGAGCAAATCCTCTCACCAGCCAGATCTATGAAGGGGAAAAAGACGCTGTTGTCCCCTCTACTTCAGTTCTCAAATAAGGGGAAGTATTTTTTGTATCCAAGATCAAAAACACCCCTAGTGCCCATTCAGTTCAAAACTCCTATACATTTCCCTGTTTTTAAGGAATCTAAAAGTAAGGAATGCTACAGTTTAGTAACAAAGAGCACAGGCTTTGAAATCAGAAAGATCTGGGCTGGAAAACTGGGCTCTATCATTTACTCCCAAGACCTTTGACAAAGGACTGAGCATCTCTGAGCTTCAGGATCCTCATCTGCAAATGGAAAAAATAAAGCCCATCTCAGATGACATTCATCAAGATAATAGCAACACCAAAGGCCAAAGACATTAGGTGTCTCCAAATTCTGTTCTTTATTCTTTATGGTCATCAGTTTAAGTTGTCTCTTTTTTGTTGCTGTTGTTGTTTTGTGATCCTGGGGTTTGAACTCAGGGCCTACACCTTGAGCCACTCCAATAGCCCTTTTTTGCAAAAGGTTTTTCAAGATAGGGTCTGGCGAACTACCTGCCCAGGCTGCCTTTAAACTGCAATCCTCCTGATCTCTGCCTCCTGAGTAGCTAGGATTATAGGTGTGAGCCACCAGCACCCAGCTGTCATTTTTTTTTAAAGTGCTAGTATAGAGCCCAGGGCTGTATGCATGCTAGACAAATTAACTATATCCTTCCTTTCTGTTAAACAAAATGTTTTAATGCAATCATGTTCATTTTTCTTTAGGTAGCCTCTTTTAAACTTCTCATAGAATTTCAAAATACCAAAACTGTAAAGGCCTACATGTCAAAAGAATCTAACCCACCTTCCAGAGATGAGCAAACTGTTACTCAGAGTGGATGTCTTATTAAGATCACATTATAAGGTAAAACTGACAATTGAAACAAGGACTATAGACTTCTAGCCTGAGAGGCTAGTTCCACAGGCCTACACTGTATGTGTCAGGCTTTATCCAGTGCCTTCCTTTCTCTACACCTGAGGAGCACGGACCTAGCTGTGAACATATAACGAGGCATAACTCTGATAAAGAATTTTAAGTGGTTCATGGGAATGAAGGGAAGACTCACGTATGATGAATAAATCAAAGTCTGCAAAGCACTTACAAGCTTCTCAAAGAAAGGTGAAGTATAAAAGCAATAAAAACTCTATATAGAATGGTCAGACTACAAGAGAAAAAAACATAATCTGGGACCATCTCAGCATCAGAGTTATTAGCAAAGGTCCCATAACTTATCTTTTAATTAATATTAACATGGTATTTGAAGATCTTGCTTTTTAATCAAACTAATTTGGAAAAAAATCAGAATGTAGCTTTTGGAACTCCTTTGTTTTAATTAATTTTATTCTTTATTAATTTAAAATGTGGAGTTTCAATTTCATACAAAATTTTAAAGCACAAAAGGTAAGAGTACTCTCTATGGAATTCTTTCAAAAGTGGCATGCTGGCTGGACGCCGGTGGCTCACACCTGTAATCCTAGCTACTCAGGAGGCAGAGATCAAGAGGATCATGGTTCAAAGCCAGCTCAGGCAAAGAGTTCATGAGACTTTATCTTGAAAAAACCCTTCACAAAAAAAGAGTGACTTGCCCAGTGTTGGTGGTTCATGCCTGTCATCCTAGCTACTCAGGAGGCAGAGATCAGAAGAACAGCGGTTCGAAGCCAGCCTGGGTAAATAGTTCACGAGACCCTATCTCAAAAAACCCTTCACAAAAATAGGGCTGGTGGAGTGGCTCAAAGTGAAGGCCCTGAGTTCAAGCCCCAGTACCTCAAAAAAACAAAACAAGGAGTGACTCAAGGTATAGACCCTGAGTTCAAATCCCAGGACTGGGGGAAAAAAAGTGTCATGCTGCTGTTGATATGGAACAGGAACTTGAAATATCAAGACTGCAGAATAAGATGACCTCACTGGTACCCTAGTGCCTAATATCGAAGACTTAAATGTCAATTTTTGGAGCAGTGAGTGCCTGTTTTCCCATAATAATCACAGTGAAGTTCTACAAGACTCACCTCTAACTATGGCTTTGAGGTGACCGGGTTTTAGCTTTCTGGCAGCCATCACATCATTGAGAGCAGAACGAAAATTGCCTAAGTTAGTAAAAAAAAGAACAAGTTTTTATATTAAAATGATTCCAAACTTTTGTGTGCAATGACAAAGACACTCTCGTATAATCTTGGAGAAATATAAATTGAAGCAACTGTTTTTCAGAAAAACATAGTTGCCCTTATCAAGCCTTAGAAACGTTTTTATCAAGCATTCCACTAAAGAACTATAAATGGCCCTGAATAAGCCCTTCATTGGCTCTTCACCAGTGACTTAGAGTTCAAACTCCTCAATGTGAAGACTGAGTGTCCATGACCTGGTGATACCCATTTCTCAAGCCTCTCACCAAGCCCTGCCTTGCACTCATTGACAACACTGATTTTCCTGAATTTCTCTTGTTCTCCCTTTGCTAGAATTCTCTTGTTCTCTCCCTCTCACCTTCCACCTGATTAATGCTTACTCTTACTCACAGTCCCATTTCAGAAGGCAATTTTTTTTTTTTTGGTGGTACTGGGGTTTGAACTCAGGGCTTCACACTTGCTAGGCAGACATTCTACCACTTAAGCCACTCCACCAGCCCTATTATGCGTTGGGTATTTTCAAAAATAGGGTCTCACCCTCATAAAACTAAAAAGCTTCTGTTCATCAAAAGAAATGGTCTCTAAACTGAAGAGAACACCCACAGAGTGGGAGAAAATATTTGCCAGCTACACATCAGACAAAGGACTGATAACCAGAATATATAGGGAACTTAAAAAACTAAATTCTCCCAAAACTAATGAACCAATAAAGAAATGGGCACGTGAACTAAACAGAACTTTCTCAAAAGAAGAAATTCAAATGGCCAGAAAACACATGAAAAAATGCTCACCATCTCTAGCAATAAAGGAAATGCAAATTAAAACCACGCTAAGATTCCACCTCACCCCTGTTAGAATAGCCATCATCAGCAACACCACCAACAACAGGTGTTGGCGAGGATGCGGGGAAAAAGGAACCCTCTTACACTGTTGGTGGGAATGTAGACTAGTACAACCACTCTGGAAAAAAATTTGGAGGCTACTTAAAAAGCTGGACATCGATCTACCATTTGATCCAGCAATACCACTCTTGGGGATATACCCAAAAGACTGTTACTCCAGAGGCACCTGCACATCCATGTTTATTGCGGCACTATTCACAATAGCCAAGTTATGGAAACAGCCAAGATGCCCCAGCACTGACGAATGGATTAAGAAAATGTGGTATCTATACACAATGGAATTTTATGCAGCCATGAAGAAGAACGAAATGTTATCATTCGCTGGTAAATGGATGGAATTGGAGAACATCATTCTGAGTGAGGTTAGCCTGGCCCAAAAGACCAAAAATCGTATGTTCTCCCTCATATGTGGACATTAGATCAAGGGCAAACACAACAAGGGGATTGGACTATGAGCACATGATAAAAGCGAGAGCACACAAGGGAGGGGTGAGGATAGGGAAGACACCTAAAAAACTAGCTAGCATTTGTTGCCCTTAACGCAGAGAAACTAAAGCAGATACCTTAAAGCAACTGAGGCCAATAGGAAAAGGGAAACAGGTACTAGAGAAAAGGTTAGATCAAAAAGAATTAACCTAGAAGGTAACACCCTCGCACAGGAAATCAATGTGAGTCAATGCCCTGTCTAGCTATCCTTATCTCAACCAGCAAAAACCCTTGTTCCTTCCTATTATTGCTTATACTCTCTTGACAACAAAATTAGAAAGAAGGGCAAAATAGTTTCTGCTGGGTATTGAGGGGGTGGGGGGAGAGGGAGGGGGCGGAGTGGGTGGTAAGGGAGGGGGTGGGGGCAGGGGGGAGAAATGACCCAAGCCTTGTATGCACATATGAATAATAAAAGAAAAATGAAAAAAAAAAAAAAAGAACACAATTTGACCAAGACTGCTTAGTTATGCAGACCTCTCACCACTACCACCATCACCACCACCATCAATTTTTCCTCTGTTTAGAACAGTACTCTGAAGATGGATTGAAATACTTTAATTCCATCTCTCCAAAATGGCAAGTTTGACTTAAATCCTTTCCTGCCATTTTATCATTACTTTTCCTTGCTTTCTTTGGGGTGAGTGGCTGGACCTCCTGACATGTTAGAAGCCCTAGTCAGGCCCTTGACAAGGACTCTGGTCACTTGTCAATTGAAAGTAATTATGGAAAAAAGGTGAATTGTGATCATTTCCTAACAACAAATTGCAAAAGCTAATTCCCATTTTCCCACTGACATGCAGATCACAATGTAAAACACTAGAGCTTCTAGGGAAGAAAATGAGAGTATCTTCATGATATTAGGATAAGAAGCAGAGATTTATTAAACAGAACAGAAAACAATGTAAAATTAGAGAACTGTAAGTTAAATTATATCAAAATTTATAACTTATATATCATGTGCTAGCACATAGACAGTGAAAAGTCAAGCCACCAGCAGGAGAAAACATTCACCATACATACATATAACAAAGAATCCATATTCAGATTTTTTTTTTGTAAAAATGAAAAGAAGCCTTTACATCAAGGAAAAAAAAAGGCAGAAAACCAATAGGCATTTCACAAAAGAAGATAGCCAAGTGACCAAAAATCATATGAAATGGTACTCAACTTCAGTAGGCAGTAGAAAAATGCAAATTAAAATAATAGGGTCTCACAAACTATTTGTCTGAGCTGGCCTCAAACATGATCCTCCTGTACTTTGCCTTCCAAGTAGCTAGAATTATAGGCATGAGCCACCAGCACTCAGTAGCACTTTCTTCAGGACACCTAATTAGTCCACTAAGTCTCTACTCTAAAAACATTCACCACATTTCTCAGCCTCTGTGCTGTGCTCTCTATATTGTACCTGTCTTACACTCTGCACTTGGAATCAAACCTGACTTTGAATCCTGATCCCGGCACTGTGCACCCTCAGACAATTCAGTGTACTGCACTTACTACTTTTTACTACCATTTCTTAATCTGTTGACTAGGGATAAAGCTGCTAGCCTCAACTACCTTACACTGCTATTGTGAAGTCACATAACACAATAAACACCAAAGTGCTCTGTAAATGGTACCAGTGATGGCTTTGATTATTAGGCACCTGATACTCTAGTATTGCACCTATACATTTTGTTCTTGAAAGATTGTTTTGGTCTTACTGGCTCATATACCACATCCTTAAAGACTGGCAGACAGGAACTATGTTGCTCTTATTCATAGTGTAGTGCTTAACACAGTGTAAAAGTTTAATATATATTTCTTATTGAATAAATAAAAGTATAAAACTCCTTCAGGGAAAGGTTGGGTCTTACTTATCTCTATGATGACAGTGCCTAGCAAAGAAACACAACTCCTTTTGTCTGTTGAATCAGAAAACATATACTATGGTCTGGGCTCTGGCATTAATCAAAAAGGTCTCTTTGGGATTATGATATAAAATGAGGGGGTTTACTGGCTCATATAATCTCTAAGATTCTATGCCATTCTGTCTTTTTAAATTTTTCTGAGGGAGAAAATACTTCAAGCAGATCAAGCTGGAGAGAAACTGTTCAAAAGGAGATGTGTCCCAGCAGACTCACTCTGGCTAGATAAGACCTGTGCTCTGAGGCTCTTCAGAAATGCTTGCAGTCACTCCCAGGTTCTCTAAATTCTACAATAAGAAACAAGGGTGTAATATGGCCCAGAAGAGTCACAAGCAATACTGCTGCTTGGCATTTCCAAAAGCACCCCTGCAGAATGGCCCTGTCTGGTGCTAGGGAGACTTAACAAAACTTGAGAAACCCAGGAAAGATTCTTTGTTGTAGGGTTTCTGTGACTTTATCATGCGAATGTGTACTTCAAATCTCCAACAGAGTAGCAACATTTTCCAAACATCCTCATCCAAGAAATATTTTTTATTTTGAGAGTCTCACAAGCCAAGTACCAGTGGCTCACGCCTGTAATCCTAGCTACTTGGAAGGACCACAGTTCGAAGCCAGCCCTGAGCAAATAGTTCATGAGACCCTATCTCTAAAATACCCAACACAAAAAAGGCTGGGAGAGTGGCTCAAGTGTTAGAGCACCTATCTAGCAGGCATGAAGCCCTGAGTTCAAATCCCAGTGACACCAAAAAAAAGTTCCACAAAATACTCTTTGAGAAACCCCTTCCCCTTAGATTAATACGGCTCCTATCACTCAAAGATTTTGAGCCAGGGTCTTGCAATATAGCCCAGGCTGCTGGCCTCACAATCCTCCTTCCTCAGTTGGAGTGCTGGAATTACAGACATGAGCCACTGTAGCCAGCTTCATCCAACAATCTCCATTGCCTTAATTTTTCTAGCATCCTTGAGAAGAGGATAAAAGCCAGAAAAAAACATTTTTAAAAAAAGTAGAAACACCTGGGCTCAAAAATCACAGATTATACTGACTTATACATCAAATATCTTACCAAAATGACTAAGTCACTTTTTTGGTTCAGATAGTTAAAATTATACAATCCAATGTGTTTCCCTTCTCACCCTGCCTACCTGAAAGGTCAGAATACAATTAGAATTAGAATAAACTATCCTTAGTTCAGGTTTCTGGAATGAACAGCCCCTCTTTCTCTGACACTCTCAAACCCTCTACTAGCCACCATAAGGGCTTTTACAATAAGTTAGTTCTTTGGAAAACACTTAATAGTGAAATAAATTACCCAGATAGTACTGTGCTGCTGCCCTGTTGGTATAAAGGACAGCATTCAAATCAGGATCTGCACACTTCTTCTTTAATCCTTCAGTATATGAAACCACAGCTTTCTTATAGTCTTTCTCTTTAAAGTAGTCATTGCCCTCATCTTTATAGGTCTTGGCTTGCTCTGAAAGGAAGAGGAGAAAAAATCATTTAAAAGACTCTAAATAATGCAATAATGTAATATATGATAAACCAGAAAAGAAGAACCAATAGATAAAGGAAACCCAAAATTAATGCTATGATAAAAATGAGTATCAAGGGCTGGAGGTATGGCTCAAGTGCTACAGTGCCTGCCTAGCAAGTGTGAGGTCCTGAGTTCAAACCCCAGAACTGCAAAAAAGAAATGGGTATCAATATGGAGAAACAATGTCATGAAAACCTAATGCTATAATCATACTACCAAATATCTTACAAGGTATGTTACTAAGTGCTTACAATGGAATTTTATGCAGCCATGAAGAAGAACGAAATGTTATCATTCGCTGGTAAATGGATGGAATTGGAGAACATCATTCTGAGTGAGGTTAGCCTGGCTCAAAAGACCAAAAATCGTATGTTCTCCCTCATATGTGGACATTAGATCAAGGGCAAACACAACAAGGGGATTGGACTATGAGCACATGATAAAAGCGAGAGCACACAAGGGAGGGGTGAGGATAGGTAAGACACCTAAAAAACTAGCTAGCATTTGTTGCCCTTAATGCAGAGAAACTAAAGCAGATACCTTAAAGCAACTGAGGCCAATAGGAAAAGGGGACCAGGAACTAGAGAAAAGGTTAGATCAAAAAGAATTAACCTAGAAGGTAACACCCACGCACAGGAAATCAATGTGAGTCAATGCCCTGTATAGCTATCCTTATCTCAACCAGCAAAACCCCTTGTTCCTTCCTATTATTGCTTATACTCTCTCTACAACAAAATTAGAGATAAGGGCAAAATAGTTTCTGCGGGGTATTGGGGGGGGGAGAGGGAGGGGGTGGAGTGGGTGGCAAGGGAGGGGGTGGGGGCAGGGGGGAGAAATGAACCAAGCCTTGTATGCACATATGAATAATAAAAGAAAAATGAAAAAAAAAGAAAAGAAAACAGCTGGCAGAGTGGCTCAAGTGGTAGAGTGCCTGCCTAGCAACCATCCTTGAGTTCAGACCCCAGTACCACACACACACAAAAAAAAAAAAAAAGAAAGAAAGGAAAAGCATAAAGGAAGAAAGTACACTTATCCTAGTTTTTGAAGGACTTTTTGTTTATAATTACTGAGGAAATGGGAAGAAATTATACTTCTGCTTTTGCTTATATTATTTCCTTGTTTGGAGTGTAAATTCTCACCACTATAGTAAGAGCCTAAAAAATTATTATGATTTAGCTCAAATTGCCAGTCTACCGAGAGCTCACTCCTGCATCTGCTACAGAGCCTGTGTTCTCTGTCTCACATATACATACACACACGTGTGTGTGTGTGTGTGTGTGTGTGTGTGTATATATATATATATATATGTATATTGGTGTGTGTTGGCACCTATATTCACTTAGATTTGCTCTGATTCTTCAGAACAATTTGGCTTCTCACTGGAGCCTACCTTTGAGGGGATTAACTGTATGCAGTAAGTAGTTATCTAAAGAAGTATGTGTGGAGTGAATATTGACAAGTTAGCACCAGGTAACTACTTGATACCAATCAGAACTGTCTGACTCACACTGTACCCCAACTCAATGGAGACACAACACAAATACTAGTAGTATAAAATACCTTCTGGAGATCGCTCCTCATCAAAAATAATTGACTGGAGGCAAGCCAAGTCAGGATTCTCCTTAGGATCAATTTCTGATGGTGCTTTCTTCATAAATAGGGGAATCCTGTCAAATTCCTGGATTTTAAGAGAAGAATGAACTACACGAATAAGATTTTCCATTGAGTAGATTCAATACCATGACTCATTATCAAAGTTTTCTTACTCATCATGTAGGATAATCTCTATTCTTTCAGCTCTCACGTTCTACAAGGACGTTAGTGCTTACCATTAATCGATCGTCCTTACAGTGCTGACACTTCACTATCTCATTTCATCTTTGCCACAGCCCTGAGTGGCTGGTGCTACAAAGGGGAGCAATTTTATAGTTGAAGGCTCAGAGAAGTTAAGAAACTGACCCAATATCCGAGCCAGTTGGAGCACAGGGCTAACTGCTAATCCTGTAGTCTGCAATGTACTGACAGTATAAGAACACTCTCAAAACCTCGAGGCCAACTGTTAACACCCAACTAGAAGCCATCCATCTGCTGGCAGCCAGAGACCGGCGCGTACGGGAGGAACCCTGGAGTCCCAGGTGTCGGGACGACACACACAAACACGTGCGGAGCCCCCGAGACCGCTCACCTCCTCCCACTGGTCCTCGTGGAAGCCGCCGCGGTAAGGGTGGCTCTGGAACTTCTCCAGGAAAGAGTCCATTAAGTCGTCGTTGGCAGCGTCCGGCTGAGACGGCTCCATGGCCGCTCGCAAATCCCCTGCTTTAGCCGGGAAATTCAAGCAGCTAGGGGCTCCTTCCGGCGCCGCGGTGCACTTCCCTCAACCCTCCCGGCGCTGCAGACCCGCGAGCCGGGCGTTCCGCAGGCCTAGGGGCGTGGTCGACTCTGGTTCCGCCGGCCTGGGGGCGTGGCCTGTTGGGTTCCGCCCTCTTTGGGGGCGTGGTCAACCCTTGAACCTCGGCCCCACCTCTCACAGAACAAGTGCCTCCCCTGCCCTGGCCCCTGCAGATGAGTCTCAGACCCACCTTTTGGGGTGGTGGATAATCCCAGGCCCCACAGAGTTCCTACTATTACTTCGTTCACTCATTTGTTAGTTAGCACCTATTCACTAAATTCCGTATTTTTCCCATTTGTTCTAGGCGTGGACTATACAGTGGTGGACAGAGAAAATAGAAGCCATGTTGTTTAGAAGCTGACAAGGTAGTGAGTGAGGAGACATAATGAACAGATAAGATGTGAGAGTTTGTCAGGTGGTTACTAGAGCTGCTGGAGAACTGAGCATGATGGTGCACATCTGTAATCCCAGCACTCGGGACCTTGAGGCAGGAGGATTGTGAGACTGGGCTACATAGCCCAGCTTCATTAAACAGGGCATTCACGCAAAGACAGTGAAGGCCTGGGAGAGACAAGGTTTTCTGGGAAGAGCATTCCCCAGAAAGGGTACAGCAGGACTAGTGAAGGCAGGTGAGGTGGACATTGTGTTTGCTGAACAGCAGGGTGACTGGAGCGGAGAGGAAGGGGAGAGCAGAAGATGAGGTGGGAAAGATAAAGGGACTGTGATTGTGAAGACTGAGCTTTTCCACAGGGTGAATTTTGAGGAAAGTAGTGACTGATCAGATACACCAGAGCTTAACCACACCCTCGCCCTCTCGGCTGAGGCGGACAGGGTCTCTGTTCTGACCTCCTTACCCAACTAATGTGGCTTCCGCCACCCAGTCACCCAGCAAGTAGCTACAGGATATTGTCCAGAGTGCTATGGCCTTGAGGAATTCCTAGCCTGGTCCAGACCAATCTAAACCAGCACTGGACTGCAAGTCTGGAGTGGAGCCACAGAGGGGTGGGGTCCAGGAAGGCTTTACATAGACGATGATACACTTCTGAGAGCAGAAATGGGGAAGGTCTCTGTACGTGGATAGAGACCTGGAGGGAAGCTGGGAAATTTAGGTGGTGCGAGCCCATGTGTGGAAAGGTGTGAAAGTATGCTGGGCACACAAGAGCTAAAGGTGAGGCCAGGTTGGCAGGGGCCAGAGGACCTGGCTGCCCCTCTGGCCTTGGTCCTGCAAAGAATAACTACTGAAAAGACGTAGGAGGAGGAAAATCCATGAGCCATTTGTCTTCTGAAGGCCTGAGTTGCCAAGTTAAGGATTAGTGGGGGGAGGCTGGGTTAAGAAATTGGTAAGGAGGCTGTAGATGAGAGACCTGGAGCAAAAGAGATCTGAAGCCAGCAGTGGAGCTGAGAGGCTTGGACGTTATTTGATATGAGGCAGGAGAGGGAAGGGAGAGCACAAGGCTGAGGATGATGTGGAGGGACCATGACCCTTTCAGGACCAGGACTCAGTCTTTCCCTTCTAACTCTCCACATGCAGCAGAACACATGGTCTAAGTGCTTCTTTTTCTCCAAATTCAAACCTCCTTTTTTACATTTTCTCCTCCATCCTTGCTCCCTAATCCTGGTCCCCTTCTTTATTTTTCTCTTGTCTTTTCCTTCCTTTTTAAAATTTATTTTATTGTTTTTACATTTACTCACATCTGTACACATTGTTTGGGCCACCTTCCCTCCTTTCCCCACCCCCCACTTCCGGGCAGAACCTGTTCTGCCCTCTTGTTCTCCAATTTTGTTGAAGAGAAGTCTTTTCCTTTCTTAGTACAGAGCCTAAAAAGTGTTTTTGCGTCTGTTTAAGTTCATTTTCTACTGCTATAACAGAATATCTGAGACTAGGTAATTTATAAAGAAAAGAAGCTTACTTCACGGCCAGGAAATAGGAGCTCATGCTTCTGGTGAGGGCTTCATACTGCTTCAACTCACAGCACAAAGCAGAAAAGCAAGGAGGCGTGTGCAAAGGAGAGAAAACCAAGTTATATCTACTGGTTCTCGCAGTAACTAAAGCAATCCCGTGAGAGCAAGAATTCACTCACACGAAGCCAAGCACTGGTGCTCATGCCTATAATCCTAGCTACTCGGGAGGCAGAGGTCATAAGAGTTTGAGACCATCTCTGGCAAATAGTTCTCAAGACCCTATTTCAAAAATACACAACACAAAAAAGGGCTGGTGGAATAGCCTGCCTAACAAGTGTGAGGACCTGAGTTCAACCTCCCCCCAAAAAAATCACTCATTATCTAAGTGCAAATACCTCCTTCTAGGCCCCTCCTCCCAACACTGCTCCACTGAGGATCAAGACCTAACATAAGTTTGGGTGGGGAGAAACCATATTCAAACCATAGAAACTTCCATTTTTTTCATTTGATTCCTGTAAGAACTCTGTGAGATGAGACTCCATTTCACAAGTAACAGCAGGGGATGCTTAGAGAAAAGTGGTAACCTTCCCAGTGCTCTTGAACCTTCCAACTGGGTTCTATTTAAAGGCCTCTGCTTGTTCCAAGGTCACCCAGAAAACAGAAGGTGTCATTTGTCAAGACTACCCCAAACCTGGGTTCTGGCTCATGAAAGCAGTAGAGTCTCCAAATAGAGAGAGCTTGGGCGTGGGAGTTGGGAGAACTTTGAGATTCATACTTCCATTGGTTCACATGACCGTGAGCAAGGCCTGTCCCTCGCTGTTATCCATCTGTATAGCAGAGGTAAGAAAGCTAACCTGCCTCCCCCAACACACAGGACTACTGAGACTCAGTGAAACAATGCTCGGGAACATTCTTGGCAGTGAAAAGGGCTGTACAAACAGACCACCCCTATTTCCTACTCTCTCTAGAGCATTGCTGGAGTCCTAATGGCCTTGGCCCACAATTAATTGGGGGATGATTGTGTGGTCATCCCCAGAAGAAACGTAAAGCAGGTTCTCCTCTTAAAGGAGGAGGAGTCTTTCTCTCCCCTTCTACCATATTTTCCCCAGGGGAGTCTCACCCGTTCCCTGTACACAGACGAATCTGTCTCTACCTCAGACTCCTCTATGAAACTCCACTCCATGCAGCTGTTTTCATCTATTCAGTCCCCTATAACAGAATTCCATAAACTTTGTGGCTTATAAACATTTATTTCTCACAGTTTTGGAGGCTAAAAGCCCAAGATTAAGGCACTGCCAAATTTCACGTCTGGTAAGGGACCTGCTTCATAGATGTCATCTTTTCAATGGGTCCTCACATGGCAGAAGGGATGAGGGAGCTCTCTGGAGTCTAGTTAATAAGGGCACCAACCCCATTCATAATCCTGAATCACCTCTTAAAGACCCCACTTCCTAGTATCATCATACTGGGGTTCAGGTTTCCAACACATGAATGGGGAGGGAAGACAAATATTCAGTGTATAGCAGCAGACAACAATCTGGTGGATGTCCTCACAACCACGCTGCACAAAGTCCCTCAAGTTCCCAGTTCCAAATTGGACTTGACCCATGCCCCTCACCCCACTCCACCCCACCTCAGCCTACTCCTGGGCCTGGGTTCACCCTCAATGTAGGATCACTATTGGCTCTATCATTCACCCAGCAATATGTGTCATCCTTGACACCTCCATCATGGCAACCACCAGGTTCTGGAATTCCCCTTCCTCAGTCTTCTACAAATCTGGCTGCCCCCTTCATCTCACCCTCTGCAGTCAGGCCACCGTTTTTCTCAACAGTTTTTGGCCAGTCCCTGTCCACCGTACCACCCAACCTTTTTGCTCCACTAGAGTATGCTTTTTTCTGCTTCCTTTTTCCTTGACGGCCATTTGTTCCCCAGAGCCTGCCTCCTCATTCTCTCCCACCCTGATCAGTCTTTCTAGTGCTTAATGCAAAAGGTTAATTCCTTTGTGCACACACTATTAACATACTTCACTCAGCACTAGGTTTGAGGTCCCATCCATGGGGCTACGTGGATCCCCACTGCCTCTAACTAACTATACATAGGACTCTGTGGAGTGCATTCATTCTTGAAGGATGAGTATTCAGGTGGCCTCCCCTCCTGGTACCATGGAAAACACTGCAATAGATGTCCTCATACATTTCTTAACAAGACATGTGCCCATGAGTGCAATTCCTGAGTCATGGATATGCATAGTCACTATGGCTAAATTGTGACGGATTCATGTCCAGGATAGCTGCACCAATCTACAGTCCACCAGCAGTGCCTAGGGGTGCCCGTAACCCCATGAGGGAGCTTTCTAAAGAAGATATCTGCCCACATCTCTTCCCTGCTGAGCACCCCACAATACCTTCTTGCTGTCCTCTAGATAATGTCTCCCTCCTTCCCAAGGCCTCCAAGGACTGACCCTTGGAGGGTCCTCCTCTTCCCCTCTCTAGGTTCCATCACAATAAGAACCTGCAGTTTTTCCTTGGCCCCACATGCCATGCTCCCCTCCATATATGTCCTCTCTCTTCTCTGGGAAGCTCTCTCTGATCCCCCGACCCCTAACAGGCTTATGCACCAACCCTACACCCTACGGTGGCATGCCTCCCTGCTGTACTATTGGTGGTTTTATGCGTCTCTGATTCCTCCATTAGGCCAAAATCTCTCAGCCTTGGCACTTTTGACAATTTTGTCACAGGGCTGTCCTGTGCATAACATGGTGTTTTGCAGAATCCCTGACCTCAGTCCACCAGATGCTAATAACATCCCCACCCTCAAGTTGACACAACCAGAAATGTCTCCAGACACTGAGATATTCTCTTGGGGTCAAAAGCACCTCCAGGTGAGAATTGCTGTATCAGACCACGGCCTTCCCAGGGCCTGGGGCTGGGCTTTATCCATGTCTGTATCATTGGCACCTACAGCAGTCCTAGGTCAGGTTCAGGTTAGGAGCTAAAGAATCGCTGGTGGGCAATCACTGGACAAAGATCCAAGGGTGGGACTCAGAGATGAAAGCTGTGGCATGTGTCACAGGGTAAGCCAGTCTCTTCTGTCCCCCTCCTTTCCTTCCCCAAGTGCCACCCAAATCATCACCTTTAGCTCTTACAGTGTGGGGAGAGGAAGCTGAGACATCCAGTAAACTTACTGCATGGCCTTTGACAAGCCACATCACCTCTCTGAGCCTCAGTTTCCCTAGTTACACAAAATAGATGAAATAGCCTGTGTTGTGTCAGTAAATGTCAACCGAGTCAACAAATGAAGGCCATGCTCCTCTTACAGATTTGTTGCACAGAGTAATGGCTGCTCAGAGCCCAGGGCATCTCTCATGAGGAAGTGCTCAGGGAAGAGAGGTAAGCCACATGGCATTTATGTAAGCCAGCCAGAGGAGGGCTGGGGACTCCAGGATGTCACTGCTTCAAGGACATCTTCCAAGCACCCAGGGCCTGCATGATCCAGGAACGCCGCTGGTGGGAAGTGGCAGGTTCTCACAGCTGGGGCTCCAATGGTGTGTGGTGGCTGGGTCACACACCCATGAGTCTCCATGTGGTAGTGGCCAAGAGCTCCTCCAGCAGCTGGCCAAGATGTGGTCCTGGGCCTGGGCCGCACAGATGCACACTGATGCTTCTGGATCACCTCTCAAGTCTTCCACGGCTGGATCATGGGGAGAAATGGCCACCTGTCAAGACCAGGTCCCTATGCGGGTCACTTCATCCTTCCTTCCCACCTCAAAGTCTTGGCTTAGGCACCTCTGCACAGCATCTCCTCACCTCACTTTCCTCCCAGCCCTTGGAATTCTTTGCATCTTTCAAAGCCTGAATCAAAACTTGCCTCCTCTAGGAAGCCTACCTTCATGCTTCCATGAGCTCCCCCAGTTACAAAATGAATAGCATCCCTTATATTTAAGCCAGTCACCTGGTGGTAAATGGTTTCTGGTCTTGGTTTTGAGCCTTATTTCCTTAGTGAGGTTGTTAAGCTCCCCTAGGTTAGGGCTGTGTGTTCTGCCTCTTGGTAACCCCTGGTGCCTAACACTGCTCTTACCATGGATAAAGCCTGAACCGAGCTGAAGACCCTTGGCTTGGGCCAGGTCCCTTCCCTTCCCTATCCTAATACCAACTGTGATCCTAGTCATGGTCTGAACAACCCAGGGTATGACTTACCAGCTTTTACTTCATTCAGCCGGTCTTCCGTCATTATGCTGTCCATGCAGGGGACCAGGGACCCTTAAGTATAATCCAAAAGGTGAGGGACCCCTCACTGTGATGCCACCTGATCCCACCTTCAGATCAGACCTCCTCAGATAAGCTTTCCCTGCCCTCTTCAGCCACACAAATGAGGACATGAAAGGAGAATTTCACATTGATCTAGGGACAGATCCCCTAAGAGGGGTTGCAGATAGGTAGCTGGTCCAGCGGGCAAGGATGGCAGCAGGACAGGACAGAACTGACCTGCCACTGACTCTGACAGTGCCACCCTCAGCTGGACCTTAGATTCCTGGTCTGAGACAGAAATGAGTGTCAGTAACATGCAGGACCTTGTGTACCTGTTGGGGGTGGCTGCCAGGGAGCCCTTAAGGCATTGAGACTCTGCATGCTGGATCAAGGAGCTGCTCCTGATGGCTCTTCAGTCACATGACTGAGCCCTGCTCCCCCTGACCTGTGCCTGTACCACTCATCTCACAGAATGGCCTTCCCTCACTTAATTTCCTGGAAATTCCTATTTGTCCTTGCAAGGTCAGTTTAGCAAGTGGCTCCAGGATAGATGCCTGCCTAGTTCCCAGAGTATCCGAGTTTTCTCTATCTGTATATGTTGTGTTGCATCTTACTTGTGATTATGAACTTTTATATCCCACCACACCACAAGTTTCTTAATCTTAGATCCATTGCAGGGTGATGTGGAAAGGGAAGTCTCTGAAGTCCCTAAAATTATATGCAAAATCATGCACATATTTATTTTTCAATACTGGGGTTTGAATTCAGGGCCTCATGCTTGTTAGGCAAATCCTCTACCTCTTGAGTCACACTCCCAGCCTGTTTGTTTGTTTGCTTGCTTGTTTGCTTGTAGCCCAGGCTGGCCTTGAACTCTCCATCCTCCTGCCTCAGCCTTCCTAGTGCTGGAATTAGTCATGAAACATTATGCCCAGCTCATATATGCACTGAGGCTGGTTTCTCACTGCATCCCTTTTTTCGGTGGGGGGGGGGCGGCGGTGTACTGGGGCTTGAGATTAGAGCCTTTACCTTGAGCCACTCCACCAGCCCTTTTTTTTGTGAATTTTTTTTTTCAAGATAGGGTCTCTAGGACTATTTGCCAAGGCTGGCTTTGAACTTCAATCCTCCTGATCTCTGGCTCCTGAATAGCTAGGATTACAGGTGTGAGCCACTGGCACCCAGCTCATATATGCATTTTTCTAGGGAAAATGTTCATAACTTTTTCAGAGTCTCACAAAAGATCTGTTACCTAAAAGGCTAGGAAGCTCGGCACTGTGCCAGGAGCTATCTGTGGCAGAGATGAGCTCTCATCAGTTCTGGGCTCTGCTTGATTTCCCAGCACAGACTCTGGCACACTGTGTTAAACACTAACATTTTTAGAAGTAGTTAGTTTGGAGCAAGATTTAAAGAAACAACAGCTTGGAAATAAGTGTCACTCCATGTTAGAAGCTGCTTCTGTGCTGTCCCTACATTTTTAAGAATGCCATCCATCCTTGCTCTTTTGTCCCAGCATCAATCATGGTAACAATTACTCCATCCCAACCTCAGCCACCACCCCCACCCACCCATCAGCATCACCTCCTAAAGAGCTCTTTTTTCTCTAGCCTAAGCAGCATGCCTGACACACAGAAGGGGATCAATCAATGTTTGCTACATAAGCCAACAGACGGCTGGATGGATGGGTGGGTGGGTGGGTAGATAGAGTGATAAATAAATGGGTGGGTGATGGATGGATGGATAGGTGAGTGGTTGGGTGGGTAAATGGATGAGTAGATGGGTGGATGGAAGGATAGGTGTTGGGTGGGTGGATGCATGAGAAAGAGGGAAATGAGGGAAGGGAAGGCACTAAAAGAAACTTCATGTTACAGAGGTCATTATCTCTAGGTCCCTCTGCAGCAAGGTCTCCTGGCCTTATGTGAGGGCAACATGGTTATTTGGGGACAGGGGAGAGCAGATGTCTAATATGGTGGAGGTAGGGCAGGCAGCCTGGCATGCTATCAGAAGGTTCCTGTGAGGCTAGTGAAGTGGCTCCAGTGATAACAGCACCAGCCCAGAATGTTCCTGTGGGGGATTCTGGGCCTGGGGGATTTGCTATTTGTTTTTTCCTAGAAAGGAAGAGGTTGGGATTATGGGAAATAGGAGAAGGAAAGCAACTAACATGGAGTGTCTTGACATGCCAGGTTTTACCTTTTAAAAAATATTCTCATTCAGTCCATGAAATTGGAACTGACCCCCTTCTTACAGATGAGGAAATAGCTTAGTAGGAGCAAGTGACCTAGTTGGAGTCTAAGAGCGAGGAGATCATGGGGCTGAGATTCTACTTGCCTCTCCACCTTGCTGCTTGGCCCTTTCTGCTACAGTCAATGGGGGATTTGCCTAGGCTCCTGCTAGGTTTGAACCCATGCTGTACTTCAAGGGGAAGCAGCAGCTCAGCTGGGCACAACTGCACAAAGACTTCAGACTGAAACAAGCCTGTGGCCCACTTCCTAGGCCATGACCTCAAAGGAGGGAAGACCATTCTAACATGCATCAAGACTGATGGCTAACCAAGCCTCACACCTGCTGCCCAGGTGCTGGAAGGGCTGGCAGCCAGGGAGGAAGCACAGCCCTGGTAGCAGGACAGGTTATGCCAGAGCTGGTTACCTATGAACATGACTGAAGACTTTCGGAGGGAGGCCCGTGAGTTCTTGGCATACTCCAGGCTCTGGCTGAGGAAAGTGAAGGCACTGTCTCGGTGGGTGTTCACCTGGTGCAAAGAAAAACCCCAAACTGCTGGGTCCTGAGAAGGGCTCATCGCCCATCCATCCCCCATTGAAACCAGGAGTGGTGACCATGCCTGGCAGCCCAGCCCTGGCCATCTGCTCTTGAATATCTCTGCAGTCCAATCTTCTGCCCAAAACCCCCAGGGGCCAGGCCTCACCTTCCCTTAGATGATCACAACCATGACCTCAACGGTGCTCCTGCCCTGGGTGTTTCCTCTAAACGCATCCCTCCTACCCACCCGCTGCAGCTGGAGGGAAAGGTCTAAAGACAGGAGAGGTCTCAGAGATGGAACTAGATATGGCATGCAAGGGACATGACCAGAGTGAAGGATTTGAGCTGTAGAGCAATGGGGAATAAACTAGGTGGCGATGTCTTAAAAGTCAGACAGGAATGGGGCTTCCTCATGTCTTGGAAAGTAGGAAGCAAATGTTCATTCATAACAGGGCAGTGACAAAGCAGAGTTTATTTTTGTTTTGTTTTATTTTTTGCAGTACTGGGGCTTGAACTCAAGATCTACACCGTGAACCACTCCACCAGCCCTTTTTTGAGACCAGGCTTTTTGGAGATAGGGTCTCATGAACTATTTGCCCAGGCTGGCTTCAAGCCACGATCCTCCTGATCTCTGCCTCCTGAGTAGCTAGGATTACAGGTGTGAGCCAATGGGCGCCTGGCTGACAAAGCAGTTTTAAGCGAAATAGTCTGTCAGTAGTCAGGATGAGTGGGAGGGGGCAGTGTTTTTTTGCTCCCTCCTTTGTTAGCGCAAGCTTTCTCTCTCACTCCTGGTTATTACTGAACCCAACTGGGCTTAAGTGAGGGCGACTGGAGATTCAGAAAAGACCAGGATAGACAGACAAAGTGGGTTCAGGTGTGTTGGGCATTCAGGTGGAGACGCCCAATCCTAATTGCTTCATTTCTCTATCTTTATTCTTTAAATCCTTACTCCTTGCAGTTCTTTAAAACTTTGCTTCTAAAGTCTTCTTTAAAACCTCTTTCCAGAGAGTCACTGTCCCATGTTTTCTCTTAGCTTATCTTTAGCCTAATCGATCTTAAAGTCTTTTGCCCCCAGGCTTGCAGCTTTTCTTTAACATTTTCTCTTTAACTTTCTTAACACCTCGGTGCTCAGACTTGCAAAGTCTCGGTCCTCTATCTTGCACTGTCCCATGTTCTCTTGGGCTTTTCTTTAGCTTCTAAAGTCTATGTTAAAGTTCTTTCTTTGGCTTTGCTTTCTAAGGCCTATGTTAAAGTTCTCAGTGCAGACTTTGTATCAACCTCTCTTTAGCCATTCTTTTCCCTTCAGCAATTTCCCTTTAGCAATTCTTTTCCCTTTCAAAAGCTTTCCACACCAAAAAGCCCAAAGCAAAAGAATCAAGCCAAAGCCAAACTAAAGCCCCCCAAAACCCAAGCCCAAAAAGCCCTGCTTCAGCAGGCCTCTTGTAAATAGTGGTAAACAGGGTGGAGCAGCAGCTCTCAGGAGGGGTGTGACATTGTAACAGGAGAAACCTGTGTTCCTGCTTCGCTGAACTCAAGCTTAGGAGACGCAGCTGTTCTGCTTTTTCTGTTTCATGGCCAGGGCTGTGCCTATCTCGGTCTACACGTAAAAGCAATTAAGCTACATCTCTCCTTGCTTACGTCCAGTTCTCATAGGCTTTTCATAATCTGCTCTCCACAATGAGTCTGGTGATAAAGCAAGAAGGAGTTTCCCAGCTAATAGTCTGTTGAGGAAGATGAAGAGAGGTCTGATCTGACCACTGTGTTGATCACCCTAGAGGCCAGGGCCAAGGTCTGAACTCCAGGGCCTGGCATGCAAAGCCTTTATGACCATACTCTGCCTCACATTCCTTTTTCCTACCACACCCTCCACTGCGACACACAACGTTCTAGACCTGTGCCTTGTACAAGCAGTTGCTCCTATCCGAAGCACCCTCCCCTCTCTTCTTCACCCCATAAATTGCCTCTCATCCTTCTAGCCTCAGCTCATATGCCACCTTCTTCCTAAAGCCTTGCACAACCCTGCCACTCCTGATGTTTCTGCAACTTGTTGGCACCTGTGACCTTGAGTCGTAATGTATATGGAGCGCTCCCAAAATAAGAGACCCCATCCTTTAACTCAGAGTCCTCAGCACCCAGGATAGAGCCTGGCCTGGAACTGGTGCCCATAAAGTGCTAGATGAATGAATAAATGAATGAACGAGAGAATGAATGAACAACAGGTTATTGATCACTTCTTAAAGTTAAGGCTAGAAATTGATCTGCATATGAACAAAGCAGTTGATGACCCTGGGATCAAAGAAGAAAGTGAGAGTCCAGAGGAGTCTACCACAGAGGTCACAAACTGGCAGCCACAAGCCACAGGAGCCTGTGGAGCAGGCAGTGAGCAGCAGTGTTTTAAATAGCCTAAACTGATTGCTAATAAGCAGTTATAAAATGTGGCAAGTTTAGTTTTTCTTGTGGTAAGAGGAGACTGTGTGGGAAGCTGGAGATCTTCTTCCTTCAGCAGACTGGGGCTCTCCTGGCTTATCAACCCCTCTACTTCCATGTCACTTGTGATCACTGTCTGCCTGGTCACCAGTCACATAAGCGTGTGAATTAGTGACCCTAGCAAACAACTCTCCAGACCTCATTTCCCTCTAGAAAGCGATGGTAATAACAGTGGTGCTTGATTGCAGAGGCTCTGAGCTCTCTGATAGCAGGTGTGCCTAACCCTTTGCTCAACCCTATTTCTCAGTTCATTTACATTAGATTAATGGCCGGGAGGGTGTGTGTGTGAATGAGATGGTCGGATGCCAACTCGGGTCTCCTTTCAGATGGGAAGGATTTCTTCCATGAGCTGTGGAGATGCTGAGCTGAAGAGGACCACCTGGCCTAGGGTGATGCCTTTTTTCAGGGTGGCTGGTATCCAGTGACAAATGGACATGGCTGTAAAAGCCAGGCATGGTAGTACACATCTATAGTTCCAGCTACTCAAGAGGCTGCACTTGGGCCCAGGAGTTTGAGGCCAGCCTGAGCAATGTAGCGAGACCCCATCTCAAAACAAAAACAATCATCCTGACCTTCTAGGCCCAGTTTGGCAATGTCTGTAGGGTTGGCTAAGACTGCCACCAAAATCATGCTACAGGTCCCCTGTGCCTCCACCACCCTGTACCTTCCTTCCACAGGTGTTGATCGCACCAGAGATCCTATCTAAACCTTCCATACTCATCCATCTGGCCCAGGACAACAGGGAAGGGAAAGTGAGATCAGATGACAAACCCCCATACATCTGAGTCCCCCAGTGCCATGCCTCACGGCACACGTGTGGCACGCTCCTGCCTTAGACCATTCGCAGATATCACACAGAAAGGGAGTTCCGTGGTGAGATTAGTCTGGAACTGCATGAACCCAACAACCAGGCATCCACTTCCTCAGCACAGAACACCTCAGAGCCTTGAGGCTGAGGTGCTGGGGCTGCTGCAAGTCTGCAGGAGGAAGATGTGCATGCAGTGTTCCCCACTTGCTCATCCTGGAATCTCTTTCTCCCTGAGGGGCATGTCTGGTGAGACTCAGGTCACAGGAAATACTCCCCGGGAATTGCTGGTAAAGAAAAGGGAGCCAGCATGGCCCTCTAGGCAGGGGTACAATATAGGCAGGCTGGGCACATAGCTCAGTGGTAGAGCACTTGCCTAGCATACACAAGGTCCTGGGTTCGATCTCCAGCACCACAGTCTATCTAGCTATCTAGCTATCCATCTATCTACAGACAGACAGGTTAGTGTGCTAACAAGACCACTATGGAGGCCTGGGTGGGGAATAGGTTGGAGGGGTTGAAATTAAAGCCTGCGAGATCTATTGGATGGCTAGATCAATGACCCAACTGAGGGCAATGACAGTGGCGATGAGAAGGGGAAAACAGATTCAGAGATATTTAAGATTTTAAAGATTGATCAAGGGCTGGGTGAGGTGAATCATGCCTGTAATCCCAGTTACTGGGGAGGCAGAGATTGGTAGGATGATGGTTCAAGGCCAACCCCAGGGAAAAAGTTTGAAAGACCCAGCTCAATCAATAATCCAGGCATGATGATACATGCCTATAATCCCAGCTACACAAAAGGCTAGGAGGATCAAAGTCCCAGCCCAGACAAAAAGCAAGACCCTATCTTAAAAATAACCTAAATAAAAAACGACTGGGGGCATTGCTCAAGTGGTAGAGTGTTGCCTCAAAAGCACAAGGCCCTGAGTTCAAACCCCAGTACTGGAAAAAGAAACGATTGATAAAATGTGGAAGGCATGGAGGAGGAGGAGTCCAGAATGACTCTAGGCTTCTGCATTGAGGACCTAGAGGGACAGAGCAGAACTGAAAGGGAAGGTTATAAGTTTAAAAGACATGTGTGGGTCATCAGTCCAGTTAGCCAGTGCAGAGGAACCCTAGAGGTGGGGGGACCTCAAAGAGGGAGATGGAGGGTCCCGGGCCAACGGTTTGTAGGTGGGAATGGAGACTGTCAATCAGGGTGCTGGTTACAGGAAAGAAGAGAGACGGACCCCCACCTCCAACACTCTTGTAAGGCGCCGCGGTACTTTCTGGAAGCACTCACAAGGTACTTGCAAATTTTGGCCACTGTCTGCTGCTGGTTGTCCCAGGGTTTCCGGCTGTAAGCTCTTTTTGGCAACTCCCATGCCATGAAGCAGGAACAGCGGAACAAGGTCTTCACACATTTCTGGGGACCAATATGAAGAGAATGACAGAATTGTGGAACTCCAGGACAGCAGAATGTGTTTGGGGGGGAAAATGTCCATAAAAACTGGACTTTGGAAAGTCAATTCCTCTTTGAAATCCACAAATGCAGTTAGCTATATTTGAGGAGGAATCCTGACATGGATGCCCTTGGAGGGCACCTGCTAGACACAAATAACTGCCTTCAGCGGTCCGTTTGTGGTCCTGGCTTGGTTTCCATAAAGGAAGGTGCACCTGTAAGGCCCAAACGTGGGGGTAGAGGCCCGGGACCTGGGTGCACTCACCTGGCCCACCTTGGTGTTGCCCTCCTGCATGATCAGCAATAGGGGCACCAAGGTGCCGACCAGCTGCTCCTCCATGGCCTGGGTGCGGGGTGCCCGGAGCTTCTGGACCACCTTCCCATACAGGTTGATGCAGGAAAAGCGCACATCCTCTCTGGACTGAAGCAGGTGCAGATGGGAGGCTCAGGGTATCCCTCCTCCAGGAGGAAACTCCATGGCCTTCTTTTCCCTCATTCAGAGGGGCCCTCCCAGCACAAGGAGGTAGACAGGAGAAGAGCAGAGGCTACCTGGTGAGGCTGGTCTGGGCCAGCACTCACCTCACCAGAGCCTAGGTCTGGGGCTCTCTCTGTTCTTCCCAGCTATTGCTCCCACTAACCTTGGCATGTGCTCATGCCAAGTAGCAAATGCCCCCTCATGGAGGCTGCTCAAAAATGCACCCCCTTTAGGTGGACCACCTTCTCTGGGGAGACTTGAGTATAAAAGAAGAACCTGTTTGAATAAGGAACGTTCTCTGGAATGTAATTGCAAAAGACATGGACTGGTTGGGCCCAGGTACCCCTTCCTCTGGGCTAATTTAGTCCTGCCCAGGACCCAAAGGGGTGGGAGGGACAGTACTGGGGTACTAAAGGAACATCCTTCCTATGCCCCACACCCCCAGGACTCCTTACATCACTGAAGTGTGGCAGCAGGACCCGCAGCATCTCCACATAGACCGAGCTGTCCGTCAGCTTCCGATCCTGCCCCTTAAAGATGGTCTTGAGGTTGTGGACTGCCTCCACCATCAGCATGCCGTCCACGCTCTTCAGGCCCTTCACCATGCAGGGCAGGAGCGCCTGCACCTTGGCCATCTGCGAGGCAAAAGCATGTGAGCAAGGCTTCCTGCCTACACCAGCAGTAAGAGAGCTTTCTGGTTCACCAGGATGAACTGGGTGATCCCACTTCCACCACTGGGCCCTTGCCTATGCCCCTGCCACCTGCCTGGAATTCTGCCTTCCCTCAAGCTCTTGCTGCTTCCCAGGGTCCTCTTTGACCTCGCTGACTCCCTCCTGGCCTGAGTCCCTGAAGTTCTTTGCTTTTCATCCCCCTCTTTGGCACTGGTTGGATGACATCTGAGTCTATGTCCTGTCCCTATGTCCTGACTGCATGAGCTGCAGCAGGGCATGGGAGACAAAAAACAGGTACTTTTAAATGTTAACGATACACCAGTGATCTGGACACCTTAGTTTCCTGATCTATAAAATAGATCCCCCTTCCTTCCTACATACCACCTTTATGCTCATCATGAAAAGCCTAGCTTGGGAACTATTGAAAAATATTAAAATAAATAGGATTATGAAGACAGATCCATTTTACAGATGGCTCCACTGAGGCAAATTCCAGCCACCAGCATCTAAGAGACTGTGATGGCCAAGCTCCATCTTCCTCCTAATCCTCCAGGGCCTGCCTGGATCATGATTGCCTCTCCCTCACTCACCTTCTCAGACCTTTGGGCCAGGATGACCAGGCCTCGGATGGATAGCACCTTCATGATGGGGTTGCAGTGGCTCAGGCCTTCCGCCATCCGCCCCAGAGAGTACTCCTCAGGGATCCGGCGTGCTTGCTCCATCTGCAGGAGCTGAGGGAGCAAACGGTAGTTACTCCTAGGTCAAGGGCAGGTGGTCTCTGTTATCCCCCACACTGGGATCACTAGGGTTAGCTTTGGCCCAGAGCTGCAGACTTGCAAAACCAACAGTTTTCTGGAGATCTCCACCCTGTGTCCATCAGTTCCTCATGGTGAATCCAAAAATGTCTCTCCCCCTCCCAGAGCCTCCTCCCCAGGCCTGTCCCCTGGCCCCTGTTTGCCCTCATGGTCACATCTGTACCATTTCTACCCTGAAGCCCACACTCCTACACTAACCAGCCAGCTTCTACCGTGCTGGCTACCATCCCCTATTGTGTCTCTTCTACTGGTACACCCACTTCCTCTCTGACTCCTCTCAGCTTGCATGGCCTCTGGAAGCTGCACTTGACCTTGCCCAGGGCTACCTTCCCAGGGCCACAAGAATGCTTAACATCCTCCCATAGCTATGCCTGGAATCCTTAGTATCCTATCTGTCCTGTCCCTTGTCCTAGCCACCCTGGGGCTTCCTGCAGGACAAAACCCAGCCATTTCTCCTTGGAGGCCATTACCCCACCTGAGGTCTGGGGTGGAGCCTGTGCTTAGGGCATGCTTGGGCATGAGTTCAGCTCCTTCCCTCTGAGGACTGCTCTCTGTCCTGTGTCCCCATTGCAGGGTTATCACCACCAGCCCCTGCTGCCCCAGCCAAAAGCTGGATGTCACCCTCATCTCCTTCCTCCCCCTCACATCCTCCACCCTTGGCAGCCAACAGACTTTAATCCTGCTGCCCCATCCTTGTCCTCGTAAACATCTCTCCCCTCCATGTCCTTGCCTGACACTTGCTACAGCTATTGGGATCAGTGTCTGCAAAATGGGGAGCACTGGGGACAGGAAGAGCTGGAGGAGAAGCTGGCCAGAGAAAGGGGCCAGGGAAGGAGGGACTGTACCACTGCCCATCTCTGCCCATCCTCACAATGGCTGCTCTGCACCATATTCTAGGCCAGGCACGAGAGACATGGTGTGTTCCCCTCCCCCACCTCCACACCACTGCTTTTTTTTTTTTTCCTTCAATGTGGAAGCCACACCCCTTACCCAGTAATGAGAACATATTTATTTAGTTATCCCAGGCTGACCAATATGTAGCCTAACTTGAATTTAGGATCCTTCTGCCTCAGTCTCCCCAGTGCTGGGATTATAGGCATGTGCCACCATGCTGGGCCCAGTAAAAATAGTTTTAATAGCAATAGAGCTGACTCACAAAGAGCTCTTCCTATATGTCAGGCTCTGTTCTAAGTGCTTTATGTGAACGCATGTCATCCTTATTAAAACTCTATGAGGCAGGTAATTCATAATCCTCGAATGATAGGTGAGGAAACTGAGGCACAGGTAGGCTAAGCAACTTGCCCAAAGTGACACAGCTCTCTCCTTGAGTTTACCTGCCATTGGGAGAAGCAAGTGCAGACACAATCACAGAGAGAGGGCTACAGGTGCTAAGGAGGGGCTCCTAAGCTCTAGCAAACATGGTGGAGTTAACTCCATCCAGACACAGGGTCCTTTTCTGGGGAGTGGGAGAAGCATGACCCTTGCCCTAAGAGGGAGGACCATAGCTCAGGGATCCAGGAGATTGTTAGGATGAATTTAACCACAGTCCTAAATCTTGTGGTGGATACAGGACCATCACCTGAGGTGTGGCAAGGTCTGACACCCATTCTCTCCTCCCAAGAACCTGTGTGGTAATCACTGGCAAACTCATAGAGAAGCCCTCCCAGGGGCTGACCAGGATAGGCCAGGAACATCTGAGCTCTCTGAGCTGTGTGACCTTGAGAAAGCACTCCTGACCATGGACAACATGGTCCTTCTCTGCAGGGTTGCTATGGATTGGTGAGATGCCCTAAGAAAGAGGTGGATATGGTATTTGGCACATAATAGGCCTGCAAGAAATGGTAACTTCCCTATCTCTTTCCCTTACCAGGTTAGGGAGATCAGAAGTAGATCTGTGCAGAGCTGGGGCTGGAACCCTAGACTCTACACCCCAAGGAGATACCAGAGGGCTGGCAGAGTGGCTCAAGTGCTAGAGCACCTACCTAGCAAGCATGAGGCCCTGAGTTCCAACCCCAGTGCTGCCAAAAAGAAAATAGGGGACTGAGTGTGTGGCTCAATGGCAGATCGCCTACCTGGTAAATGCAAGGCCCTGAGTTCAAACTCCAGTACCCCCCCAAAAAAAGGGGACCTAGAATGCTCATGGGACCTCCCACCCATTTGGCAAATGCTACTCGCCTGTTAAGATTCATTAAGGTTCAACTCAAACGTCACCTCCTCTAGGAGGTCCTTCCCACTGTCCAAGCAGACAGGGAGCCTCCTGCCCTAAGCCTCACTGGACAGACTCTGGTGACATCCCGGGGCCCCCTGTCCACAATAACTGTTGGGTCAGAAAAGGCAGTGCATGTGGCAGAGAAGAGAATGGGTTTTACAGTGTCTCACAAAAGACGAATGGGTAAACAAATGTGGTGTGTGCGTGGAACGTCCTTCCACCATCAGCAGGACAGGAGATTCTTATGCAGACTACAACCTGGATAAACCTCAAAGGTGTTATGAAATAGCCAGACCAAGAAGCATGACTGGACCACTTGTGAGAAGTACCCAGAACAGGTAAATTCACAGAGATAGAAGGTAGAATGGAGCTGCGGGAGGTAGTGTTTCGTGGGCACAGAGTTTCATCTGAGGAAGATGAAGCTGTTCTGCAGCTGTGCAGTGGTGATGGCGATACAATAATGAATGTACTTAAGATCACTGCACAGTACACTTAAAATAGTAGATGGAACATTTTATGTGTATTTCACCACAACAAACTAAAAGCGAGACGGAGAGATGGAGGTCAGAACCCAAATGTGTGAGTTTGGATCCTGGATCTGCCACTTGGGCCACGGGAAAGGTACTGAAACTGTGCCTCAGTTCCCTTCTCGGAAGTGGGTCAGGGACCAGTCTCTGAATCATAGGATTCATGTGAGGATGAAATGAGTCAGAAAGTGTGAAGTGCTTAGAACACGCCTGGATGATAGTAAGTGCTCAGCGAACTATTATTGAGTCTCCCCCTCTGAATCTATCCCTCCCAACTTCTGACTGGGCTCCATTACCACTCCCAGTCCCTCCTCCCAACACCCACTTGGCTCAGATGTCACTTCCTCTGGAAGCCCTCCCTGATGTCCCCTCTTTCCAAGTCTCCTGCTGGCCCTTCACTGCCCAACTTAGCACGAATCACATGTCATTCCAAGTTATAACTGGGGTGTCCTCTGTCTCCCCTGTCACACTGAGAACTCCTTGAGGCCAAGGTAGAGTCCCAAGTTTGTATTTGCATCTCTGGTGCCTGGCACACAGGGGTGCCTAGCAAGGGTCATTGATTGCCTGGGAACCAGGGGAATCTGAGAAGAAGGAGCTGAGATATAGGGGTAGAGAGGGAGGGGAAAAGAGAGGAAGACCTGCAGGGGTCCTCATAGTCAAGAGAAAGGATTCTCCTGGAAAGGCTTTGTACAGTACAATGTGCATAGGAGAAACAACCAGCAAATACCCATGGTGTGAGCTGCAGCTGGTGACAAGTCCCGCCCATGCCGGCCCCAGTCAGTACCTCCACGAAGAAGGCAGTGGCTGTGATCTTGTGCTTCTCATCGCCTCGCTCCAGGAGTGGGATGAGCAGGTAGAGGATGCGGCACAGCTCCTGGCAGGAGTAGTGCACCATGGCCCTGGGTCGGGGGAGCAGCCCCTCAGACTCTGCAGTCCCATGAGGATCTGCTGGGTGGGGGCCTGGAAACCCTGGTAAGCCAGGGTCACCAGGTTCCTGTGATCCCTGGCTTTCCCACCTGGGTGGGATCTCAGAGACCATCTAGTTTAACTGCTTCCTTTTACCAAAGGGGAAACTGAGGCCCAGAGTAGGAAAAAAGACTTGCCTGAGGGGACAGAGCAAATCAGTAAGACAGACAAACTGAAGATTCCAGCTGCACAGGGCCATGCCAGGAGGAAGGGACAGGAAGGAGAGGATGGGAGGGTTCACTCGCTAAGCGCCAGGCAGCACTGATCCTTTTCGCCTTATTGCATTTGATCCTCACCACTGCCCTTCAAGGTGGGCTGCTGTTATTATCCCTACTTAGATGAACAAAGGCTATGACCATGAAGTTCTCAAGGTCAGAGCTAGAAAACGACAGAGGTAGAGCCCCAATCAAGGCTCCCCATTCCAGCTGCCTTGCTCATTCTATTAAGCCAATGGTGTTGAAAATGCCCCCATCCCCCAGCAGCATCAGCACCACCTGAGAAAGGGTTAGAAATGCATGTTCTCAGGGCCCTGGGCCAGACTCACTGAAGCAGCAGCTCAGGGCAGGGGCAGCAGGCCCTCAGATGATCCTGATGTGTGACAACCACGCAGAATTCTTCATTAATTATGGAATCCAGGAGCATGGTAATCATAAATGATTACCATGAATGAAAGAGCCTGGGTTCAAGTCCTACCCCAGCACTTGCTGTGTGATGTGGGGTGGTCACTTAGCTTCTCTGGGCCTCAGCTTCCTCGTGTGTAACCCTGGGATCGTAATAGTGCTATTCCACTGTTCCTGGTGGGAACTAAATGGGACCATCCACATGGCACTATTTTGCATGGTGCCCACAGCATATTAGTGCTTGGGAAATGTGGTTGTATCCTGAAAACCCTGGGCATCATGGCCTCCAGGACACTCAGGATCAGACTCTCTTGCAGGATTCACAGCATGGAAAGCAGGGTGGCCCTCCTGACCCATGGGATGTATGTGTATTTGGGGAAGGCGCACTGGTCTGGGACAGCAGGTCATTTCTCACCCTGCCACTTCCTAGTTATGTAACCTTCAGTACATGACTGGCCCAGACTCCAGACCGGGCATGCTTTTGGGAAACTTTTTTTTTTTTTTTTTTAGGTAGTTCTGGAGTTTGAACTCAGGGCCTCACCCTCGCTGGGCAGGCAACCTACCACATGAGCCATGCCTCCAGACCAGGCATGCTTTTGTGTAAATGTATTAATAATCCCTGATTCAGGCACCAGTCACCATAAGGGTGGCAAAGCTAACCTGTGTTGAGCTCTTACCATATGCCATCCCTCAGAGGTGGGTCTTACTGTCATTTCCCTGCTACCAAAGGGAATAGAGATACAGAGGGAGTCCACAGCATACCACCCTGAACGCGCCCGATCTCATCTGATCTCAGAAGCTAAGCAGGGACAGGCCTGGTTATTACTTGGATGGGAGACAGAGAGGGAAGCAATTTGTCCCCACCCATCTGGCTGTGGCTGAGATTCAGATACAGGCAGACCACTTCCAAGGTCACACTCCCAAGTGTTCAGTTATACCACCATTTCCATGTTAAGAAAAGTGCTTTGTAAATGATCTAAGGGTTCCAGGAGCCATTGTAACCATGGTTACCTCCCTAGAGTTAGGACCATCTTTCATGCTTGTGTTGTCCAGCTCCCAAGGGGGGTAATACCCCCTAGTTGCAGAGAAGAGGTGACAGACAGAGCAAAGAGTCTTGCTCAAAGAGACAGAAGCAAAAGTCTGCCTAAAGATCTGGAGGTTCCACCCATCTCCACCCCAAAGCTGAGTCCTTCCTCACCTTGCCAGCATGGACACTCCACGATGGTGGTTCTCCGCCTGCCCCATGAGTTCCCAGCCACCCTGGTCCTCCAGAAACGTGGACTCATAAGAGCAGCCCATCTTCAGCAGCAGGGTTTTCACCACTTTCACCACCCAGCTGCCAAGACAAAGGGATGAACCATCATGTCCACCCTGCCCCTGACAGGCCGGGCCTCCCTCCACCAGGCCTCTCCTACCATCAGCTGCCACCTGGCCCCACGGCTTAATTGTCAGACTCCACCAGTTGTTAAAGGCTCTTTACAAATAATAATCAGCTTTCAGAACAAGAGAGGAAACAGAAGCAAAACTCCTCTCCTTGTGAAGATAGGGCTTTGAACCTCCCTTTTCGTCAGAGCCTCACTCATCGGAGAAGGCTGGGCCAGGCCTCCCCTGCCTCCCGGGTCCTGCCTCTTCCCTTCTTCACCTCCCCATCACACCATGACTGGGCTGGCAGTTTGTGGGACAGTCCTCTCTGCTCATTTGGAGTGTTCAGTCTCCTGCCCAAGCCTGAATCCTATCCTGCTTTAGGACACTTCAGGAGAGAGGAGCTACCACCCCCTGGGGACTGAGCAGGAGGGCTTAGGCCTCTGTGCTCTTGAAGCTCCTAAGTGAGTTCAAGGAGCCCTGGGGAGGTGCTACCACCTGTCGACATCCTACTGGGTACCTGACTGGGCATAACTTTATCGTTTTGTGTATATAGTCACACGTGGTGTAACCACAGGGTACATCTTGAGAAGTGCCTGGTGAGCCTTGTGTCGTGTGAGTACCATCGTGCATACTTAAACCTAGATGGTACAGCCTATTACCCACCAGACTCCACTGTAGGCTTGGGGGATCACTGTCATGTATACAGTTTGTCTTTGATGGAAACATTGTTATGAGGTCCATGACTCTGTACATAAACTTTTACTAAAAGAAAAACTGACAATGTATAGAGCAAAGTTTACATTTAAATCAAGTTTTCCAGAAGCCTAAACATTTGCTTGAAGAATTTGTTTTCGCATTTCAGAGATAGGTAATCCTCAGGGATTGGCTCTTCCTTTTCATGATTTTCCTTCTTTAAGGAAGAGCAATTCAGTGTGAAAATCAGAGCTTCTCCCGAGGCTGGGACTTCAGGAATCATTCAGCCTTTGTCTGGCTCTTTGAAATGTGTGCTGTCAGGAGACCCCCCCACCCCCACCCCTTCCTGCCAGGGATGCTTCCTGCATTCAGTTACAGCAAAAGGAAGGAGAGAGAAAGGCCAGCTGCAGGTGTTATCCATGCTCCCATCCCCACCCTCTTCTTGCTCCCTGGGTTGGCTGAGCTGAGCTGTTCGAGTTTGCATTTGGAGAAGAAAGGTTTTTCTCTTCAACTTGATCACCGGAGACTTTAGCTAAGGCAGGTGAGGCAACCATATGTGCCCTCCCTGTAATTCAACCACCCCGCCTTCCCATGTGGCCCAGTCAGTGGGAATAGCTTTGGTCCTCTTCTCACCAACTGTCCTGGGGACAGCACTGAGCCCAGCAGCTCAGAGGGAACAATTTGACTGAGGTTCCAGACAGCTGCCCCAGGGCTCCTCCCCCAGGCCTGGTTCATGCCGCTGAATGGATCTATGTTTAGGTCAAAGCTTCAGGACACAGAACTACAGGATTCCTAGTTTACTCTCTCCCCTCAACCAGTCATAAAAAATAACTCTAAGCATCTCCTCCCTACCCCCAAGGTTTGCCTGTAGCAGCCCCAAAAGGATGCCAGGCTGCTTTGTAAAAAGGCAGGGTTGCCACACTTGGCAACCACCTATGGGTGGTAGAGTGGCTCTTTTGTTGCCAAATGCGCACCCTGCAAGATCCACCATCCTGGAGTGTTCTCTGAACAAAGTGGACAACAGATACCTTGAAGTACCATTGCCTGCCCCTGCATTGGGGTGGGGAGCCAATCAGAACAGTTTTAAAGTCCTTGGTTGCTGCAGTACAGGGAAAACTGGCTTCACGGGACAAACCCTTAGACCACGTCCATAAGCACAAGACATGGACTCCCTCCTCCCCTTCAATCCCAAGTCAGGGTAGCAGGCTCGTGTCTACAGAGCTAACTGTCACACTCATTGACCACCCCCTCTCCTCAGGGGAGGATGTGACAGCCTCACCCAAGCTTTTCCCTTCAGAGTCTATCTAGAGTGCCAAGGATCCACGCCAGGGCCACACCCCAGTGTGGTGGTTCCCAGAAGCTGCTGTGGCAAGTCAACATGAAGGCCAGATAGCCAAATGAAGGTGAGGCAGGTGAGGCCCTTCCCTGCCTGGGCCAGCTCCCTGCAAGGGGCAGCCTCACTCTGTGTGTCTGCAGTTCTCTCTAATAGGGACACTTAGCCTGGGATTCAGGGCCTAGCTGGTGAACCCAGGACACTCATCCTTTGCATAAGTACATCTGCAAAGACCCTTTCCCAAATAAGATCAGCCACAGGTTCCAGGTGGTCACATCTTTTGGCTTACACTCAGGTGATGTGGTGCCTTCAGCCTGGCAACAGCCTCCTCTGCTTTTGTTGCCTCCGTGGCTGCCATTTCGGGACTGGAACTCAAAGCTTTGTCTTTGCTAGGCATGCGCTCTACCATTTGAACCAAGCCTCCGCCCTTCACCCATTTCACAGACAAGGAAACCAACTCCTAAGGAGTTAAATTCGTTTACCCAAGAACAAAGCACTGAATGGGGGATTTGCATTAAGACCTTCTGACATTAAGTCCATCCAGCTGCACAACCACTTGCATTCTGCTCCTCTAAATACAATTATCTAAGCAAAAGACTGATGAACACGGCTATGTAAAAACAATTAAATTTCTCAAATAGAAACATAAAAATTTAAATTTCTCAATGGCAAAAGACCACAAAAATAATTGTAGCTTAAGTGCCCAACTTGAATACAAATGAGAAATTTAATTTCCTTAAATTACAAAGAGCCCTCAGCTGGGCACGGTGAGGTAGGAGGATCATGAGTTTGAGGCCAGCCTGGGCTACAAAGCAAGTTTGGCCTGGGTTATAGCCTGGACTGTATAGTTCCTAAATGAAAAAAAAAAAAGGGTGTGTGGGGGGGGATCTGGGGGTATAGCTCAAGTGGTAGAGCTCTTACCTAGGAAACTCAGTACTGAAAAATAAAAAAGAAAACAATCTCTTAGAAATGAGTACCTGATGCAAATAATACTTCTAGGGAGTGAAGGAAGAAAACAAAAGGCTGAGCTCCTTGGAGAGCTCACGGGTGGAGGCTGCTCAGAGCAGGTGCTCAAAGCGGTTGTAGTGACAATAAAAGTGTGGTTCTGTTTTCCCCGCTAGGCCAGAGCTAATGCCTATAGATCACTGTCCTAAAGACTTTCGAGGGGCCCTTGCTGGATAGCCTTCCCCACTGCCAGGGACAACAGAGATGGTGGGGCTTACAGCACAGGTACGAAGACAGGAGGCTGTGTGTCATTCTTGGTGTCCTTGCGAGGGGCCACGCGGCCAGGCAGGTTGAGGCCGATGTGGTAATGGACCTGAATGAGCAGGGCTAGGAGCAGCTGTGGGTAGATGCGCCTCACACGGCCCACGCAGCTGTTGACGGACAGGAGCTCACACAGGCCGCTGGCCGCCTGGAGGCAGAGGCGAGATGGTCCATCTTCCCAGCACTGCTGGCTGGGGCCTGGCCTGCTGTTCTGGGAGGTCGGCCCTGGGTCTCACCCAGCCCAGGAAAGTCCCACCTCTGCCCCTAGGGGTTGGCAGATGTGGCACTGGAAGCAGGTGTGCTGAGCACAGGAGGAGGAGGGCTGAAGGGCGGAGCCCTCACCGCCAGGGGCACAATGGACGCTCGACCCTTCTTGGTAACGGGCTTCTCCTTCAGGCTGGTCAGGAGCAGATCCAGCAGGTCTCGGACATCACAGCTGGGCTTGCGCAGTATCAACTGTCTCCACATCTCTGCTCCATTGCTGAGGGGAGGGAGGGATGGTTAGTGGTACCCAGAGCAGTGGGTCCACCCGCCTCCAAATTTGGTTTCATCACTGGGGGGAGGTAAGATGACAATAAAATGGTGCCTGTGGGCACACCAGCAACAAGTGGTCCAGAAAACACCCCACAGGACAGGAGGCTAACGTTCATTGAAAATCCTATTTCCCAGATCCGGGGCCAGGTGCTTTATTTACATACAATTAATTACTTCGGCAAGTACTAATTGAGCATGTGGTATACACCAGGCCCTGGGCAGGTAGCATCCCAGGCAGGGAAGGCAGCAACATGGGGCAGACACCAGTCTACAAGCATTCCTGCCTGCTACGGGGTGCTGAGGGGTTAACGAAGCACTTTACCCATCTGCATGAACATCTGAACCTTCCCTTCACTTTCTAGCTCAGTTCCCCTAGAAACCTGACAATGCTAGTAAGTCAACTATGTTGCTAGGCAACATTGCTTATGGTAAAAATGGCCATCTTTATGGCCACTTGATATACTTCATCTGGACTGGGAGGAGCTATCAATTAACTGTAAGAAGCCATGGGGACACTGTAGCATTGAGTTTACCAGGATAGTGACACTTTGTATCTGGGTTTGTCCCTGTGGAAACCCTGGAAATGCAGTTGCATAAGAGACTTTGGTCCCTTGGCCCCATGGGTCTCCTTCCCTGACACCTGAGCTTTATTGGGGAGGCCCAAAGGCCACCTCCCAGACCCAGGTTCAAGACTAGGGTGAGGAGAATGGAGCATTTAGGGCACAAAGAGAAAGGAGGTCCTTAGTCTCAGGCTCAAGCAAGTGCAGGCTGGCACCCGGGAGGTGTGCCTCCTTAATTTTTGTGCCTGGCTGCCTGGCTGGCCTCTGTCCTTAGTGACTCTGATGTCCAGGGTGGACCAGATAGTCTAGTGAATCTGTTTAATGGATCCAAAGGAAATTCCCCTGGTGGACAGACTGAAAAGGCTAAATTCTCCCTTGGGAAGGACAGGACACATAGCTGGGCCCTCACCAACCCCATTGACCTTGGCATCCGTGACCAACCCACCTGTCCTGTCCTTCTTAGAACACACTCCATTTTCAACAGCTCTGCAAAAGCTTTCACATTTACTCAAAACTAACTATGCTAAGGTATAGATCAGCAGCTGCTGTGTTTTGTGTGTTATTCGTTCAAAGAAGTGGGGGGCTTGAGAGGCTGAGACCAGCCAGGCTAGTTACCATTTGGCCATGGTCCCCTCTGCCCACCAGAGCAGGAGCTCCCTGGAGGCAGTGAACATGGACCCTCCCCCTGCACAGTTGCAGGCCCAAGCAAGCACTCAACACAGTTGACTGCATACTTCATCACACCCCCTATTTCCTCCTTTTACCTATGGGGGAAAACTGAAACTCAGAGAGGGCAAGAGGCTACCCAAAACTACCAGCTGCTGGAAGCAGAATCAGGACCAAAACTCAGGTCTCCTTTCTACAGTATTGCTAAAGTACCCTGGGCTTGGAGTCAGTCGGACATGAGTTTAAATCCTTCTTCTGTTGCTTCAGTGAGCACAAAGGGCAAAAAATGTTCCCTGAGCCTCCATTTCCTCATCTGTAGAATGGGGCTGTTTGGGAAATTAATTGACGCTCAGCACTGACACCTGACAGTGCTCTGGAAGTGCTTAATGGTTGTCCTAAATACCACAGACTAGGGCAGAGGGACCCTGGAAGGGCAAGGGCTTCATAGGCAGAGGGAGTGTTCCAGCCCCAGATGGGGATGTCAGCCCTCTAAGGTGTAGTGGCTGGGAGCCCCCCTCACTTGGTACCTGTCCAGTGGGAGGGGGCACATGAGCAGGGCCACCACAACCTCGGTCATGAAAGAGCTGGCCAGGAGGGAGACGGGCAGCAGGGCCACCTCACGGGCCCGTGGCTCCTGGATGTGGCTCAGCTGCATGTAGATACCCTGCATGATTTCTGGGATCTGGGGGACAGCATGAGCAGGTGGGAGGAAGGCCATTGGAGAAAAGAGAGAGACATGGGGGAGCAGGAGAATGGGAGGAAGAGGGGACACAGGACAGAGTGATAGGGAAAGAACTGAAAGGAGAGAGGTGGGGAACAGTGCAGGAGAGAGAGGGCCCAGAGGGCCTACTGCTCCCCTGGGAGTGAGCTAGTTCCTCCTCCTGCCCCTCCCCCAACTCCCCTACCCCTGCGTCCAGACTTAGGTCCGCTGAATTCTCTTAGGGAGTCCTCTCCCACCCCTCCAGGTCAGGCAGGCTGTCCAAGTGTTGAGCAGACCCCCAGGGGAAGGGGAATCTCCCTGGCCCCAGGGACAGCCCAGGAGGCCTTACCACCTCTAGCACCCTATGGCGGTACCACTCCAGCACGGAGCTGAGAGTGACCTCTGAGGCCAGCTGCATCATCTCCCCAGAGTCCTTCCCCTGAGCCTCTGAGCCACCCTTCAGTCCTTCCAGGGCAGCCAGCAGCAGGTCTTTTACCTGCTGGGGCCCCAAGAAATCTCCAAATTCCTGAAACAAAGGCACAGAGGTCCTGACACTGATGGCCAAGACTAGAGCCCTACCCAGAGGCACAAATACGTCCTGACTTGCTCGTGGAGGTGTGCAGGGAGGGCCCACACATTCCAGCAACCGGAGAGGGAAAGGAGAGCCTATAGGGAGAAGCTACAAAAGAAGGGGCAAAACCAGGAGCCATGGCGCCCCTGCAGTCCCAGCTACTGAGGAGGCTAGAACAGGAGGATCACTTTAGTCTAAGAGTTTGAGACTAGCCTGGACAACACAGCAAGTCTCCATCTCAAAATAAATAAATAAATAAAAGGAGGGATAACATCGTCTCTGTACCCAGAACTCGGTGACATGCATGGGGCAAACAAAGTCACGGCCCATTGACTGGGGCTCAGAGCAGGGAGGGGGGCACTTGTGGTAGCTGTGTGCCTGGGGAAGGCTTCCTCCACAGGACTTAGAGCAGGCCCTGGGGGGCTGGTGGCCACCCGTCTCCCTCCTTGACCCTGAAAGGCCTGGGCTGGTGGGAAATGTAGTTACCGCAATCACACGCAGAATGTTCTGGCATGGACTGACTGGGTTGTAGGGCCCCAAGAAGCGCTTGTTGCTCTCATACAGCTCCTTCTTGTTGGTCTCTTCCTTGTCTCTGGCTCCTGCCAACAAGAACCTTCTGATGAGCTGGTGCCATTGGCTCACCCCTGTAATCCTAGCTACTCAGGAGGTAGATATCAGAGGATCACGGTTTGAAGACAACCCGGGGCAAACAGTTCGTGAGATCCTATCTTGAAAAAACCTACCACAAAAAAAAGGGCTGGCATAATGACTCAAGGGTGTAGGTCGCAAGTTCAAACCCCAATACCAGGGGGGAAAAAAAACCCTTCTGGTGAGAACTTTGACCTTTTTGTCAAACACAGACGCAGAAGTACCCAAAGCCTACTTAACCAACTGGACTAATTTTCACATAGTGAACATCCCCAAAGAGCTGGCACCCAGATGAAGAAACAACATGACCAGTATCCAGAAGCTCCTCTCGTGACCCCTCTCAGGCCATCCCTTCCCCCATTCAGGGCAACCACTGTTCTGATTTCTGGACTCTTAGGTAGAGTTTCTTGCCTTTGATCTTTGTATGAACAAACTCACGTGTCATCCTTCATGATCCAGCCACCCTGCAGCACATAGCATGAGTTCCCTCATTCATTGTTCAGTGCTGCGTGGTTTTCCACAGCAGGTGTACCCTGCAGTGTGTACACTGGTCCTGCTGGTTCCAGCCCTCCTGCACAGTGCTGCCCTGAGCGAGGTCTCCGCATGTCTACTGGTAGACTTATCTACCTGTCTGCCCAGGAGTAGGATCCCTGGGTTACAGGCTGAGCTTCCAGAGATGATGTTGGACCATCTGTCACAGTGCTGGGGATCAAGTGGGTTCCCACTAGCAGGGTGTGAGCTCCGGTTGCTCCACAGTGCGTTTCATTTGCCGTTTGGGTGGCTCACAATACAACTTCAGGGGATTTGTTGGTTTGTCTTTGGTGATGCTGAAGATGGAAACCAGGGCCTGACACGTAATAGGCAAATGCTCTATCACTGAGTTCCACCCCACCCTCAGGCTAGTAAAACCTTTGTTTCGGCTTTTTTTTTTTTTTTTTCCTTGACCCTGTCGCTCGTGGTTAAAAAGGACCACCATCGATTGTCAGGAGGCCCCAGTTATGCGCGAGCACAGCACTTGCTCTGACGCTGCAGCTTAACACCCGGCACCACGCGCAGGCGCGGGGGCTCAAAGGCAGCGCGTTGGTTTTTTTCTTTTTTGAGTCAGGTGTCAATATAGAGCCCAGGCTACACTCGAACTCACAATTCTCTTGCCTGTCCCTCCCAAATGCTGGGATCATAGCATGTACCACAATACCTTTCTAAAACTAATCTCTCTTCCCCCTAGCAGTTTCAATCCTCTCTTCTGTTTTTTGTTGTTGTTGTTTGTTTTTTTCTTAGTGCTCATCATCATGACTTTATGCATTACTTGTTTATTTTGGACTATTGTCTGTCTCGTGACAACAAGAATGTAAGCCCACCAAGGAAGGATTTTAAGTGAATCTTTTTTCTCTCTGTTGGGTCCTCAGAGCCTAAAATAGTACCCAGCACAAAATGGCTCTGTATTTTCTGTTGAAGAGAATACATTTCAGTTACAGTCTCTGATCCCTTTCTATGGCCAGACCTGGGTCCTACCTGGATCCCCTCAAAGCGTGCCAGATGTGGACACAGGAAAGAGCCCGAGACAGAGTGACAGCACAGGCCGTGTGCTGTTGGTAAAGGGAGGAGTTTGACCTCTGCGACCAGGCAGACCTGAGGCCCACAGACAGACAGCCTGGATAACACACTCCTTGAGAATCTAGCAATGTGAACTTGGCCTAAGGTGCCCAGATAGAATATAGGACAGCCAGTCAAATATAGTTTCAGATAAACAAATAATTTTAGGGCAATAGGTCTCAAATATATTAAAAATTATTCACTGTTTATCTGCAATTCAAATTTAACTGGGTGTCCTATATTTTTTAGCTAAATCTAGCAACCTTTATGTAGTCGATACTGTTCCTAGGGCTGAATGTGGCTAAATCTTCACTGTCACTTAAGAAGCCTGAGTGGCTACTGGTTAGTGGGGGGAACCTCCAAGGAACCACATCTTTGCCCCAAATGCTGGAGATCAAGAAGAGCAGGGACACGAGACAGATCCCGAAAGGTTGGAGGGATGAGAAAATTGAACTCTTGGTTGACAAATGCCTATGCTTTGTGGCGCTGAGCTGGTCTCTTTATATGCACTCTTACAAAAGATCTCATCCATTTAATACTTCGAAAAGCTTGTGGATTATATCACACTGCACCCACTTTAGAGATGATTAAATCTTGGCCAAGACAAAGTGCTTGATGAGGTCACAGCAAGGATGCGCCAGGGCCAGGTCTTATAAGAGGCCACGCTGCCACAGGAGCCAAGATTCCGATTGGGCAGCACTGGGACTATGGAGAGAGGAAGGAGGCAGGAGCCAGCTGGTACTGTGCACCCCTGAGTGCAGTGCCAACTGGGTATCTATCTCAGTGATGCCATATCTGTGGCTCCCTGAAACTGAGCCTCAAATTGTTCTCTCACATATAGGCTTTAGCCACTCCAGATTCATAGATAGAACCTGTTCTTTACTCATTGCTTCAATAGATATTCACTGAGCATCTGCCATGTGCTAGACCCAGGGCTATACATTGGAACTACAGTTGTGACCAAGACAACCCTACAGTAGGGTTATAGTCTAGCAGGAAAGACAGTCAAGAAAACAAAACATTAGGAAGGATGAGGAAAAGCTCAGATAGAAGAATGGTTGTGTCTATCAAAATGGGTTTGTTTGTATCTCTTCCCCCTGGTTCTGTGGGGGCTAGGGCTTCACACCAGTTCTAGCGGTGCTGTCTGCCCATCACCCTAGCACCCTGTGACCTGCCTCCATCTGCCCATCCCCACCTCTCACCCTCACCCCCAGCCACACAGAAGAATGGAGAGAGAAAAGAGATGTGGTTCTAGAGCTTACGTTTCTGGAGCTCCAGGATCGTGTAGAGGATTGTGATGCCATCCAGTGCCTCCCGACCAATCTCCTCATCAGGATCCCCAATGCAAAGAAGGAGCCTCCCCAGGAGAAGGCCCAGCGCCGGGAAGCCCGAGGACATCTGTTTGTGTCATAATCCCAGGGATGGAGTCTTACAGGTTCAGTAATGCTGAACAGAGCTAGGTAGTCTGCCCTGACAGCAGATGCATGAAGCTGGGAAGGGTCCCCCTAGAGGTGTCCACTCCTACCGGGATCACTCACAAAGAAAGGTAGGGTCAGCAGTGTGTGGTTCAGGACAGAGACATTGCTGTTCACAGCCCTTGCTCGCTCATGGGCCTTCCCAGAGTTCATCCAGGGTCCCAGCGGCTGGGGGGACAGAGGAGAGACACTGCTATAATTGGATGCAAGGCCCTGCTGCAAGGTGGGCAGGCCAGCCTTCACTGATCTGCAGGAAGCTTCCAGAAGGGGCATGGGGACAAGATGCCATAGCCTTCCTCCTTTTCTCCAGGCTCAGAGAGAGAAGAGGTCCAGAAACTGAGAACAGGACTCACAGACCAGAGGGAGGAAAGAGGTCAAGGTAGAGGAGAGTCATGAGGACAAAAAGAGACAGAGAGAAGAATGGAGAGAGAAAAGATATGTGGCAACTGCACTAGTGTGTGGCAGCTATATGGGGAGGGTGGGGAGGGAGAGGGTAAAGGGGCAGGAACCTGGGACAGGACCTGTAAGAGGACAAGGAAGCAGAACTTTGAGATCTTGAAATCAAATCACTCCTTCTGGGTCCAGCCTCCCACTTCTCTGAGCCAGATTCCCTCTATCCTTCCTCTTCCCTCCCCAGCCCCCACTCCCTGTACCTCCAAGATGCTTTTCAGCCCAGCAGGGGTGGGGTCTTCAATAAAGAGGGCATTGAGCAGTGTCTGCAGGGCATCCAAGGTCTGATGGTACAGCATCTGTGGACAGAAGATAACCTGGCTGCTGGGGCTCCTGGAGCAGCTGCCAGTCCCAAGTATCCCGTAGGGTGGGTCAGGGAGGAGAGGGGAGCCTAGACCCAGAAGTGCCACTCTCTGGTCCTATCTCAGAGCCTCACCTGATGTATAACATTAAGCAACTTGCTTCCCCTCCTTGAGTTAGGGTTCCTTTATCAACAAACTGGTGATTAGTATCCCTACCTTTCCTACTTAAAGGAGGAGGAAGAAGAAACCCCACATTTACTGAAGCTACCATGGGCCAGGTTGGTGCCTGGTGATTTGCATGACCATATCACTCTGTCCTCACTTTACAAATTCAGAACCATGTGTCCAATGTCACATGTGAACAAAGATCATTCAAGTTCCAAGGAACAAATGCTCCAGGACTAGGAGGGCTAGCTAATTGAGAAAGGCAACCTTACTTCTATTGTCTGAGTAGTTACTCCTAGACCCAAATGGATTCTCCGGGCTACTGTTACAGGAAGCATCTCTCTCCTGCCCAAGTTCCTCATCACAGCTTTATGGGTCTTACACTTACACAATGCTAGGCAGTGAGTTTGAGCTGTTCTGGGAAGATCCTCTTTTCCTTGCCTCCCCTCCTCCTGCTGGAACCCCAAGTCTGTCTCCCAGGTTGTCTGTCATTGTCCAGGACTCTTGAGTCTGCACATAGGTGGTCCTTTGGGTTATACCATAACCACCAAGAAAACCTCAGTGCGAACTACCTCCTACTTCCCACCCTCCTGCTGTTGATTACTGGGCATCACTGTCCTCTGCCAGCCAGGATTGGAACTACAAGAAAGCTAACTGCCTTCTCACCCAACAAAGGATTACTGCCTTTCCCTTGAGTCTTTCTCTCAGGGGTTTGAACTCAGGGCTTTGTGCTTGCAAAGCATGCAGAGATAGGGTCTCATGAACTATTTGCACAAACTGGCCTTGAGCTGTTATTCTCCTGATTTCAGCCTCCCAAGTAGCTGGGAATACAGGCGTGAGTCACTAATGCTTGGTGCTTCCCACAACTTTTGTCTCATCTACCGGGCTCCATCCAGATACACTGCCTCTTGTTATCCTTGCAATCAGCACTCTGTCCACAGGCTCCACATAGGCCGTTCCCTCTATCTGGAATGCTTTTCCCCTGCCATCCTCTTCAGTCACTCAGCTCTTCTTTAAGCTGTCACCCCCAGGATCATGGACCCTAGCTCTGCCTAGGCCATTTCAGGTTCATTATGACACCAAATATTGCTTGCTTACAGTACTGACCACTGGCATTATTTCCATTTATCCAAATGATTCTTTGATAACATCTGTCTGCCCCTACTCTCAGCCCTACAGAGACGCTAGCACACTGAGTTTGGTGTGGAGAATTACTCAGTTAAAACTTGCTGAATGAAAAGATGAATGAATGAGCTGAAACCCCTCTCCCTTAACCTGCACCCTAGCTGTTCCCTCATCCTATGCTCAGAGTCCCCTCTGCCAACTCCTCTAGGAATAACCCTGCAGAGGTTTGAAGATGTCCACTTAAGTCCTTGAAGTTCTGCTCATCCAGGGCTCTTCCCCAGCTTCCCAGTCTCTCTTCCTTGTGGCCCAGTCCTCAGCCCCACATGCTAGTCTTGGTCACCTCCTCTGGCCATGCAACATCTCTCTACTTCCCCACCATAGAGCAGGACCTAGAAGTAGACAGGGCCCTCCTGGGGAGCCTCTATCGCAAGGATTCATCCGCTTACCAGATATCTACCAAACACCTGCTCAGGTCAGTAGAAGCAAGGTGAGTTCCCGGCCACACGGCTAAGGAGTAAGAGGGTCATGATCCTTATCTACTCCCCAAAGGTCCTCTCTCTTCCCCGTGGGTGTCCAGAAATGGGTCCTGCTCTGAGGATGCCCACAGCCTCAGGAGCCATCAGGAGGGCCGGGCTCACCTGGATGGCTTCCGCCTTGGTCTCGTCTTTTTCCTGCATGGCCTGCACCGAGGGCAGTGAGAATACGCTCTGCACACATGTGTTCACCAGCTCCGCCCTCTCCCGCACACCCAGGGTGGGCTGGGTGTGACTGGAGAAGAGATAGGAAGCAAGGCATGGAGTAAGAGAAGGACCAATGATGCAAGGTGGGGCAGGGGGCACCTGGCATGGGCTAAGGTGGCCTGAGATCAGATCCACAGATGAAATGAGGTGGAGACCAGGAGAGTGGGTGTGGAGGTGAGATGGCCTGGCAGGGACTACAGGTGGCAAGAGCAAGGCATGGAGTGGAGTGTGTACAGGGGAAAGGTCCGAGAGAGAGAGGGAGAGAGATGGGGGGTGGGGGGAGAGAGAGAAAAGAGAGAGAGAGAGAGGAGAGAGAGGTTAGGGAGAGAGTTGTGGATACCTCAGCTGAGTCAGGGTCTCCATGGCCTGCCGGCGGACATTGCTGGAGAGGGAATTTAGTGGCTCCTCCTGGATCTGCCTCTGACAGAAGACAACGGGGAAGACAATGAAGGGGGCCAGGTTGCTGCCACTGCTCCTCCTCACAGGGAGCAGGACTCCCTCAGCCTGGGCAGGACTCCCCCGTTGGCTAAGGCTGGAGAGCCAGCTCACTGCTCAACCCCATCCTGAAACCTCAGTTCAAGGCCACCAAAACACCCTATGTCCTAACTTTTGCTCCCCACATAGAGGGCTCAGTAAGAATTGTTCCTCCAGCAGCCTTGTGGTGGCAAACATATTTAAACCATGGAGCTAGCCCAAAGCAAGAAACAATATATATGGTCCCTTGAAAGCTGTCCAGTTGAATTATTTAAACATGCCCTTCTAATTACTTCTCACTTTTAATCTAACACCTACATGTGGTAGGTGCTCAGTTAATGTTAGTTAAATGAAGGTATGAAGGGTGAGGACTTTTCTCTCTCTCTTTAAAAGACACAAAGCTAAATATAACTTTGTGAAGCTCAGTGAGTACTTGCCCAACTCATTCTGGTGGTAGCTGGTAGCTGAGAAGCTGCATTTAGCAAAATCATGAAGCAACCCTCCAAAGTTTCCCACCAGGGGAAACTTTTGGCAAAATAATGTATTAGTAGTAAGTGCTCCCAACTGCACAAGGCTTTACAGTGCACTAACCATTGGTGTGTGCTCCCATGAGCCAAAGACACAAGTATTACCACATCCACTTGTGAGATGAGAAGCATAAAGCTCAGAGAAGGGAAACAATTCAACCAAGCCCACTCTGGGTGGGTGGAGGGCAATCAGGGGTGGAGCTAAGGCTCAAGTCCAGGTGATCTGCTTCTTATCCTGCCCTCTTCCCACCTCACTCCCTCCTAGTCTTACCAATGGTGGGGACTCAGGAATTCTGCCCCTCCCCACCCCAGTGCACAGACCCGCATAAGGCTCCCCACCATCATCTTCTTCATTATGGTCTTTTTCTCTTCTTCCACTTCCAGAAGATCCTGGTTCTTCTGGAGGCTGATGGCATTCTCGACCTTAGGAGCAGCAGAGGGCAGAATCGCAGGGTGAGCACTCTACTGACTCCGGCTGTCCAGAGCACTGCATGCAACATCCACTAGCCACCTGGCACCTGCAGACAAGCCAGCTGGCTCCTCAACTAGCATTCCCCACCCAGTCCCCAGTACTGACTCAAGAGACAAGTTCCCAGAAGAGGTACTTAAGGTGGGTGGGGATTGGAGAATAATCTTGGTGTCAGGGTGGGAAGACAATCCCTGAAGGCCAGCATTTGGAATAAGACCAGATACAAAAGATTGCAAAGCATTCCTTCCTCTCCAGACAATTAGGGATGGGACAGATAAGATTCCAACATCTCAACTGGAAATTCCACCATCAGCCATACTTTTCTGAGCCTTTTAGTTCATACCAATCAGATTAAGGTATTCTGCTATCTGAGAGAGGGAACACACTAACCAATGTCCAATTAATCCATCAGTTTCCATTATCTTAAGGCAGAAGAAGACAAGATTACCATGAAATAAGTAAATTCACTTCATAGGTTAAAGAAAACAAAACACGTTAATCTGATGGAGTGTTAATTCTTTTCTACTCATCTCAACAGACAGACACTCCTCCAATCAATGACAAATACTTCGTATCAATGGACAGATTCCCTTTGAACCTTGGTTCATTCTCACAACTTGCTTGGAAGGGATGTGTGCCAGGGTCTGGCCCAACCCTGAGGCAGCTCCTACTTTTTCCTTTGGAACCCAGTTGCCTTGCTAGAAGCAAGCCCAGGCTAAACTAAGGAAAGATGAGAGGGCTGAAAGCAAGAGGCCATCTGGATGTTCCAGCAGCACTCAAGTGATCTTTCTACACTGTGTAGAACAGATGAATCATACCACTGAGCCTAGTCAAACTGCACAACCTGAAAAGTTGGGCCCCTCCTATCCTTACATCCCCAGCAGCCAAAATGAACTTTTTGTTTTGTTTTGTTTTGTAAAACAAAACAGGTTTGCCTTGAACTCACTATGTAGCTCAGGCTTGCCTTGAACTTTCAGTCCTCCTGCCTATGCCTCCTAAGAGCTGGGATTAACCTTGCTCAGAGTGAACTTGTAAACCTATCTGGGGTAGGTGGTTGTTTTGTTTTTGAGATGCTGGGGATTGAACCCAGGGCTTTTAGCATGCTAGGCAAGCACTCTACCACTGAGCTACATTGCCATCCCATGGACTAGGTTGTTAAATATGGTTGATAACTTCAGCTTCAAGAGTGGTGGTGGGAGGTTTGTGGAAACACTCAAGTGGTAGAATAACTGCCTAGCAAATGTGAGGCCCTGAATTCAAACCCCAGTGCCATCAAAACAAACAAAGAATGGTGGTGGAGGAACTCCAAGTGTGGTGGTGCATGCCTAGTGTCCCAGTACTTGGGCGGCCAAAGCAAGAAGATTGCAAGTTCACTGGGGTATATAGTAAGACCCTGTCTTAAGTTCATTAATTCTGGCCAGGCATTCAAAGCCACCCCTGGGCAAATAGTTATCGAAAGCCTATCACAAAAAACAAAACAACAACAACAACAACAACAAAAAAAAAACAGTACAAAACAGGGCTCAAGTGGTAGAACTCTGCCAGTTCTTTTTTGTTTTGGATATTTTCAAGATAGGGTCTTGCAAACTATTTGCCCGGACTGGCCTTGAACCGAACCAAAATCCTTCTGATCTCTGCCTCCCAAGTAGCTAGGATTACAGGCGTGAACACCACTTTGTGGAGGCACCAAGCTCAGCATTGTGCATACATCATCTAGCATGGCCTCACTTCAACTTCACTGCACTGTTTTATAGATGAGAAGAGCCTTTCCTGGCAGAAAAAACAAGTGCAGCAGTCCCAAGCCAAGACAGAGTGTGGCAGGTGTGAGAAACAGGGAAAGGCAAGAGCAAGGTGGGTGACTAAATAATGCACGGGATGAGGATGAATGCTCCCCAAATGCAGAGCCTCTTCTTGTTCCTGTCACCCTTTCCCTACCCCACCTACCTGCCCCAGAGACTGGAGCTTGCCTCAGAAGCAGCCTGGGGCAGCACCACCCTCTGACCTGACTTGGCCTGGGTAGATTTCTTGCCTCCAGACTCTGTCCACCAACTGGCCTTGCCCACACTCCCATGTCACACCCATATCTGCCCCCACCGCACGTCCTGCAGGTGCTGGGCTTCACTCACTGGCTTGGCCTTCTCTGGCCTCCAGCGCCTGCTGCCTAGCACAGACCTGGGTTGGATGTGACTTTGTACTGAGGAAGACCATTTTTGGCCTTTCTGTCCCTTTCACACACACCCCCAATAATTCATTCAGTTGTTTAAAAGACTTAAGTCCCTACTCTGTGCCAGCTATTGCTTTAAATTCTGAGGATGCAGCTGTGAGTGTGACAGACAAAAAAAAGTCATTGTCAGATAATGAGTGGAAGACAATGAGTCTTCCACAATGAGTAGCAGGGGAGGTGAGCAAGCAAGGGGAGGAGTTGGGAGCACACAGCCCATCAGTTGGTGCTGAGTTCCCAGGAGGGAGAAAAGCAGCAGAGGAGAGAGAAAAAAAAGAAGAAGAAGGAAAAAAAAACAAAACAAACAAGCAAAAAAAAAAAAAGCAGCAGAGGAAAGGAAGTGCTGGGGCTACAAGCAGTGGACCAGAGTGGTGGCATCCCAGGAAAGCGGGCTAGAGGCTGAGCATACCAGAGCCATTTTGCTCCCATCTTCTCTCTTCTCTGGCATCTTCACCAGGCATGAGGTCATATCATCATAGGCTCCTGCATATCACAGTTTCAGTGGGGAAAGAAGCATAGTGTTCTCAGGGTGCCATCGTCCTCTCTCCCCTCCTCACTGGGCCCCTCCAATCCTCACGCCCTCCAGTGGAATTTGGCCCTTATCCAATTGCCTACTCACCCTTTGAGGTGTACCTTTGCTTTCCAAATAAATCACCATTTACTTTCTTCTTACTCTGCATGGTTCTTTTGCTCACTCTGGGGTAGTACCCTAATCTTAGATGCTGTACCCAAGGACCAAGGAACATCTAGAACATCCCAAAACACTGGTAACATTTTGGTGCTGAGACTGAGATCTGCTAAAGGTGAGTACAACTCCTAATAATACAACCTGAGAAGTGTTTTAAGACACCACCTATAACAAACAAGATTAAACTTAAGGTAAACCCAGTCTAAGAGCCATTCCTTCTAAACCTCTTAATTATTTAAATCTGGCTAAAAGGATCTTATTGGCACTAACATCTAAATCCTCTCACTTCCCCTCTTATTGGGATCAGATTAGACCAACCAGGAAAAAATCTCATCCTGACAGGAGGAACAATTAAAGTTAAACTGCTCAGAGAGAACTATTTGGAGACACAGGGGAATGTTGTCAGAATAAAAATGGAGTGACACTGAGCATGATGGCACACATCTGTAATCTCAGCACTCAGGAGGCCAAAACAGAAGGATCATGAACTTGAGGCCATCCTGGGCTACATAGTGAGTTCCAGGGCCAGCCTGAACTACATAGTGAGACTCTATCTTAAAGCCAACAGCAAAAATGGAGTCACTTATGTCAAACCTTTCAACAGTAACCAAAGCTGAGAGGTTATGGAGAAAGAATGTTTGCACATGAATACCTGACACTATCCAGGCACCTCTGACAGAAGGCAAACTCATATCTTCTCATTTTGACTTCCTCATGTATTCTGCCTTATAATGGTGCTTCTATCTTTAGGCTTAAACCAGGGACTATTTTCCCTTGCATATTTCACCCTTTACAATTTATCCCCTTCTCATTTACTAGTTTATTCCTATCCAGGAAACCTGCAAAGTCAGATTGGCTCACACTCTAATTTCCTTAAAATTGAACACAGGGAAGAGAATTATAACAAGTTCTTAAAACTGCTTTTGCTGCTTCGTCTTGTGACAACCACAGTCCAGCTGGTCCAACAATGGGAAGGCCACATTTTCAGCAGCCACCTCTGCCTGAGTCTAATCAACTTTACTGTGTCCTGACAGAAAACAAGACTGTGGACCCTGAGTATCTCCATCATCCTATCAGCAGGAAGAAACCCTACCAGTCTCACCAGCCACACCCCCGAAAGAATTCAGGATCCTGAGCTCTTGAGAGGTGAGTGTTACTGTAGGCATCCAGGTAGTTATGAACAGGAACAAGAAATGTCCAACTATGAGACTCCGCTCTAAAATGCCCAGATGGTCCATACCCTGGACCAATGACTTAGATAACACCCTATGTCCTCCTTACGGAGCCCACCCCCCCACAGCAAGGTTAAAGTGGGGACTGGAGGAATGGCTCAAGTGGTAGAGCGCCTGCCTAGCAAGCATGAGGCCCTGAGTTCAAACCCTAGTACTGTGAAGAAGAGAAAGAAAAGAAAGAAAGAAAGAGCCCACTGCTCTTAATCTAAAAATATACAAAGGTGGGCTGGAGGAGTGACTCAAATGTTAGAGTGCCTGCCTAGCAAGTTCAAGGTCCTGAGTTCAAATCCTGGTACCAGAGGAAAAAAATTAAAAATATGCAAAGGCATATGGGGTCCCGTTTGATTGCCCAGTGTGTTTTATCCTGCCTATGTGATCTTCAGAAATATTTAACCATCTTCACAACATCACACAAAAAGCTACCAGAAATCTGCCTTGCACATTCATTCTGTGCAAGAGCTGCACGCACGTGATGCAATGCCTGAATGCCTCTTCCTCCAAAAGAAAAAAAGGAAGAATAAAATATTCAGTATGAGATACATTGATAAAAGGAGCTTCCCTCTTGAAAAAAGAGGTGCAAACTAGTTTAGGTCACCACCTCCCCTCCCTTAAAGCTTCTCAGTGGAGCCCAGTCATAGGTCATGAGGCCACCATCCTTGTCAGGGTCTTCCCACACCTTCCTGGTCTGCCCACCAGGCCACTTCCCCAGCCTCATCCTCACTGCTCTCCTCTTGCTCCTCGGCTTTGGCCACAGTGGCCTCCTTCTGGCCCTGGGCAAGCTTCCTCATTGGTGCCTTGGCACAGGTGGTTTCCTTCACCTGTCATAATCTTTTGTGCCCCTAGGGACCCCCTCCTTCAGATCTCTGCTTGCCTGCCATTCCTCAGAGAGGCCTCTCCTGGCCTTCACACTAAGTGAGGGCCCACTGTGTCCTGCTGTGCCATGTCCTGTCCTGTTCTTTCAGAAGCTATGCCAATATACAGCAGACACAGTGGGTGTCTGCTCTTTCATCAGGCACAAGTCCCTCACATTACCTTAGATAAAAGAACTCCTGTCTTTCTTGTGGGCTCCCCATTCCATCAGCTAGGTGGAGCTGAATGCTACAAGCCCTACTCATCCTCCCTGTCCAAAAGGCCATTTCGCCACCCCGGTAGGGGACTTGATCAGCTTGAGACAAAAATTTTACAACAATGCTACTCACAGACTCAGTGGTGGGGGGCTCCCAATCACACTGAGCCCCAACTTCACCCACTGGCTTTAATAGCTGGGAATAATCTCAATGTGAGTAACTGCCGTTTACAGATTGATGATGAGAAAAAGGTAATTAAACAGATTACCAACAAGATGAAAAAGCTTACCCACGTCCCTGTGCAGACCTGAAAGGGATAAAGTTCCAATGACCTATTGAGGGCTGGTTCTCAACCTTAGGTGAGTTCAAGACCTTAATAGAGACAATGTTCCTTGTCTTAAGAGCAAGCCTGATATCACCCTGCCTAATCCCCAGTACTTCGGTCTTTATCAAGATAATGCTCTTTGACCCAGATGTGGTCCAAGCATCAAAGGGGAGGATGTGGCAGGAAGGCAGAGAGGGGGGAGAGAGATTAATGAGAGCTACAGTGAAACAAAGGAAAACTGGAGACGGGGAATGTTACCTGGAGACCAGAGGAGGGTCACTTCACCTCAGAGGTTAAAACAGCCAATGAAATAACATGTGATTATGTATGGGACAAGCTGTACCCCCTCCCCAGCCCCTGATTTCTGTAACCCTTTCTTCTTGGTGCTCAGCCTTTGGACATGAGTCAGCTGAGTCGCTGCCGTCTTGCTTAATAAACTTGCTTCCCAAAAGCTTGGTGGCCTCTCAGTCTCTGTCTGAGCCCTCCTGCAACAATAGTTCATTGCATGAGCTAGGAAACCACAAGTCCATACTAATATAAATAAGTACACGAATAAGTTGAAATGGAATATTTGCATGGTTTCAAAGCACCTTGCCAAAAGATATGTGTGACAAGGGAGAAATAATGACTTCACACTGGAGAGCTTCATCAGAACCCATCATTACTCAGACAATAGAAGTGAACGTGAGTCATGGAACAAATCAAAATCATGAGCCACAGGAAGGTACACCATGCCAGTGGCTCACGCCTGTAATCCCAGCTACTCAGGAGGCAGAGATCAGGAGGATCTTAGTTCAAAGCCAGCCTGGGCAAATAATCCTAGAGATCCTATCTTGAAAAAACCCATCACAAAAAAGGACTGTGTAATGGCTCAAAGTGTAGGCCCTAAGTTTTTTACCGCAAAAAAAAATTTAAAAAGAAGGGATGCAATGAGCAAACCAGTGCTGTGCTGTTCCTGCCAAAGGTGCAGGACTCAAATCTGAACACAAGGAAACATCAGATGAACCAGACTTAGGCATAGCCTACAAAGCCGCTGGCCCATAATCTTCAAATGCACTAAGGATTAAAAAAAATCAGGAAAAAGCTGAGGATTGGCAGAGACAAAACAGACCAGGAAAAAAAAAATTCCAAGAAGAGATTCTCAGTCAGATCCTTTTGCTACAGAATATTGCTGGGGAAATTGGCACAAGTGAATGGGGCCTGAGATGGTAACTGTATGTCAATATTAATTTCCTGGTTATGATGATCATGTACGGTCCTTTTTTGTGTGAGAAATACACTCTGATAGCTGGTGAAGTGACTCAAGTGGTAGAGCAACTGCCTAGCAAGTGTTGGACCCTGAGTTAAAACCCCAGTACCACCAAAAAAAAAAAAAAAAAAAAATACACTCTGAAATTCAGGGGTGATAGGGCATCATTTAACAACTTATTGTCAAGTGATTCAGGAAGAAAAGGTTTTAATACTGTATTTTCAACTTTTCTAATGAGTTTTTTTTAAATCATTTAAAAATAATTTAATAAATACCTACTGTCTGACCATACTGTTCCAGCTGCACTTAATAAAAGTGAACAAAGAGCTGGACGTGGTGGTACATGCCTGTAATTTCAGCCCTAGGGAAGTTGAGGCAAGAGGATCAAGAGGCCAGCCTGGGCTACTACATAGCAAGACTCTGGAAGGAAGGAAAGAAGGGAGGAAGGAAAGAAGGGAAGGAGGGAGGAAAGGAGGGAAGGAAGGAAGGAAGGAAGGAAGGAAGGAAGGAAGGAAGGAAGGAAGGAAAGAAAATAAGAGCTGGTTTATGATAGCAATAAAAAGCTGGGCACCAGTGGTTCACGCCTGTAAGCCTACCTACTCAGGAGGCAGAGATCAGAAGGACAGCAGTATGAAACCGCCAGGGCAAATAGTCTGCAAGACCCTATTGAAAAAAAATCACACAAAAAAAGGGCTAGTGAAGTGACTCAAGGTGTAGGCTCTGAGTTCAAACCTAGTACTGCAAAAAAAAAAAAAATGATAGCAATAAAAACATATTTGGTAGAATGCCTGCCTAACAATTGTGAGGCCCTGAGTTCAAACCCCAGTACACAAAAAACAAACAAGCAAATAAACAACTGTAAATCTAGGTTTAACTGATCAAAGAATGCACTACACTGCTATGGAGATTTTTTTTTTTTAATTCTAGTAAAACATGTACCCTGTAGAAAGGAAAACTTGAGAACTGGTGTAGAAAAAGAACGAGAGAGAGAGAGAAACTTGAATAGGTATAAATTGATAGCACTCTAATAAAAATGCCTTTAAGATTTGAGGACCTCACAGATGCATTCTGAAATATATATGGAAGAAAGAAGGGCTACTTACAGCTAAATCAATTTTGAGGATTGTAAAGGATTCTTACCCTAGTAGATGTGAATACATATTTACAAAGCCATGGTAATTTCTTTCAAAGTCACACATTAGGTATTGGTACGTGAACATACAAAAAGTTGATTGGGAAAAGATAACAGCATCAGAAAGAGTCAGGAGATTAATTTACAGGAGGGAGGCACTGGTTGCAGACAGGACCCCAGGGCCTCACCCACATGGAGACCTCAAAGTCTCAATTGAGTTGAGCCGAGCCAAGAGCCTGTCTGCTCCATTGGCCAATTCTCATCCTGAAAAACCAGAAAAAAAAAAAAAAAGCCGGATATTCTGAATGGAAGGTAGAGATAGTGAATAGACTTAGAATTTCACAGAATTAGAAGTATTTTTTGGCAGTATTGTTATTAAGAAAATTGAAGTTTAGGGAGCTAAGTAGCTTGTCCCAGTCTTGCAGCTCTCAGAGGCCAGGGCTAGAGCTCCATGTACAATCACCCATGTTAGATGCTGCACGTGGCTCCTTCTCTCCCTCCTCTATGCTCCCCTCCCTACCCTCCATGTTGAAATAGAGTTCTTCCTGGCCTAACTCACCCTCATCAAAGCTGCGGAAGGCCGTGGCACCCTCCAGGCTGGCCATCTCGCCCCAGCTCTGCCCATTCCCCAGGGGCACTGTGCAGACGCTATTGTCCTCAGAATAATCGTGCTGGCTGCTCAGAGTCAGCGTGGATGTGTCGCTGATCAAGAAACTAGAGCCCATGCTCACATTCTCGTTGGAGCCCAGAATCTGTGTCATGCATGAGAATGGAGAGAGAGTGGAGTTGGGGCCGTAGGCACTAGAGCCAGCATTCAAGGTCACACACGAGGCCTGAGTGACAGTCATGTTCAGATCAGATCGAGGTTGGCTGTTTGAAGCCACATTGATGATGCCCTTGGAGCTTGTGCTCCAGGTTGTGCCAAGGCTCCTTTCAAAACAGACCCAGATATGTTACACGGAGTCACGGTGATGGTCTCCTTTGTATCTGGGATCCAATCCGGAGCTATCTTTAGGTTCAGCTTAGAGATGTTTCTTGAGCCTACATGGAGCAGCTGATTGGAGTCATGATCCAGAGACGTGTTTGAGGCTGGAAGAAGGAGTGCTTGTGAGCCTGGCCTGGAGATGCAGGGGCCCAGAACCAGGGCGTCTCTCATATGAGGCCTTACAAATGGGTTTGACTCAGGCCTAGAAGGATTGGAGTTACTCTGACCCAAATCAAAACTCTTGCTTGAACGGGACTTAAAGGCATCCTCAGAGTTTGGCCAAGAGAGTTTATCCGGGCTCAAACTGGTGGCCTCAGGGTTTGAGGCTGGACAGAGGGTCCCCTGTGGCTCAGGCCTGGAGACGCATTTTGAATCCCATTCCACAGTTTCCACGGGGCAGGAACCAGCCATCTGAAGAGAGGCAGGACCCATGGGTCTGCTGTCACATGATCTTGGTGTGTTATCAGATACCGGGCACAGGGCCTCCTTTGGGCTTGGACTCAGAGTTGGATTAAGGTCTGGAACAAAGGCTGAGCCAGGACTTAAGGTAGGAGTAAGGGCCATGTTTGAGTTGGGCCCTTGGATGGTGCCAGAGCCTAACCCTGGGGCCTCACAGGAGTTGAGACTTGGTGTCATCTTTGGGTCTTCATGGAGGATCAGACCAGGCCCTGAACTCAGGGCCATATTGAGTGTAGAGATTTCTCAACACCACAGCCTCTTCACTAGACAATTATTGGGCTCCCTGCAGTGCTCCTGGGAGAGAGAAGACAAAAGCAGCTGTGTCATGCCTGGTAGAGCTTTCTCATCCCCACAGTCCTTAGGATGAGGCTCTCTTGCTGTGACGAATAAGGTCCTTGGGAGCCATGTACAGCCCACCTTTCCAGTCCCATCACATGCTGCTCCCTTCCTGTTCTCTCAGTCCTAGCCATATCCCGGGCATTTCTATTCTCTGACCACACCTGCTTCCCTTCACCTCACCTTCTGGAACAAATGCAGTGCCCTTGGCTTGGAACCTCTCGTTATCCTTTGCCAATCCCACCCCTTCCTAGCAAAATACTGTCACTTCTCATGTCAGTGATTCACTGAGTGGTCTGGCCCTTGGTGGAGCTGAGCTCTGGGATCCTGAACCGTGGGTATCTTGGACCCTAGGAGCATCCCCAGATCTGAGCACATTGCCAGGTACACAGGTAGACAAATGAGAAGGAGGAGCCTCCTTATGGTTACCCTATGTTAAATCAGCTACAAATGAGGTATTGACCTAAGTTCAACAACAAGGATCCCTAGGCCTTGGGACTTAGGGAGCTCCAAGTCACAGACAAACCCCTAAGTTACTAGAACTACTCTGCAAGTGGTCACAGCACCAAATTCTCAAAGCCACTTTAGCAGAATTGTTTGAAGTCCCTAACAGTCAACCTATTCTGGGTGAGGCCGGCTGCATGCTGGAGAGCATGGAGCAGTCATCAAAATGGGACCTGCCTTGCCCAGTAATCTAACAGTGGAGTGAATGAACTCCCCAGGCCTCCAGCCACCCCGCCCAGCCCTGGGGCACCATCTCTGCAGGAATCATAGGGTAGCTCACCTGCCAGCATGGTGTTCTTAAGCAGGAGCAGGCCCCTGTGGGGAGAGGCAAAAGGAAACCACATCAGGAAAGAGTGGTTTTTTCAATGCCTGTTGACAGTCTAGGCCAGGTGAGAATATCTGCTAACCAACTCCCCACTATGCACACGCGTCCGTGCACACTCACACATACACACACACACACACACACACAGACGCACACTCCTAGGAGTTAGACATCATTGCCCATTGCATACAGAAGAGCTGAGAGTCGAGAGAAGGAAGGTCACTCACCATCAACACTCTAGCCAGCTTAGACCATCTCTATCCCCCACCCACCCCCAAATCCTGACCTGGTTTCCTGTTGTCCCCAGTTGTTAGCAGGATCTAAAAAGGCCTTTCTGTATCTGATTCTAGACCTTTTCATGCTCTTGCACCTCCCTATATCCCCTTTCCTTCTCCATTCCAACCTCATAGATCTGGGTGTTCCACAGGCTGAGTACCCCTCCTCCACTCCCCTTCCCTAGCTAACACCTGCAATTCCCTTAAACAGATGAGGGCACCTTGCTCACTTCCCCTTCCCTGGCACAGAGGACCTGGCTTCCCTGCCAGACAATAAGCTCCGTAAGAGCCTTGCTGTCTGCCAGGTCCTAATGTCTACCATAGCACCTGGCACACAGTAAATGCTCAATAAATGTTTGGGTTCGCTTTTTACCGCTTTATCCCTTCATTTGGTTTTCCATTCTTTCATGAACTCATTTCCTCACTCACTTCTTTATAATTCATTCACTGACTCATTTACTCAACCACAAACTTTGCTACGCATCTTTATACACAGACTTTGGAAAAGCCATCAACTTGAAATCATAGTGCTGAGTTCAGATTCCAGCTCATACTCTTACTTGTCTGGGTGAACTTGGGTAAGAAGCTTTCCCTGCTGACCCTGTCCTCAAGGACATAAAGGTCCCTGTCTTACAAGGATGTTGTCACAGTGTCTGGCACAGAGTGCACGGCCCTTCCAAAAGCCTCCCTAAGTGATGGTTACTGGTCCTATTCCCCTCCGCCAGAGGCTGTGAGCAGAGTGCTCTCAGGGCCTCAGTTCCCAGGGAGAGCTGTCTCGCTTCCACATCTCTGCATCTGCCTCAGAAGCAGGAAGTGTGCGCTCACCATCAGTGCCAAATCCCTAAGGCTAACGAATTTGAAATGTTGGGGTTCCTTGATTTTGCAGTGACTTGCCTTAGCCCTGGACTTAATTTTGTGTTCATATTTTTTCTTTTTTTACTTGAAGTAGGGACTAGATTTTCCCTTTATCTTCCCTTCCACCCATGTACACAGGCACATCCATGCAACAAATGTGTGCGTGTGCATGTGTGCACACACGAGCCATCACTGGTAAAGGGAGAAACATTCTCAACCTGGAAAAGTGCAGGTTGGTGCAGCCTATGGTACAGTAAGTGAGATCTTGACAAAGCCTAACAGGCCAGGGCTGTGGGAGAGAGCAATCATGTCCTTCCACCTGCAACCAGGAGGTACATGGTACTAGTTCACTAAGCAGAAAGCCATAGGTCTCAATCCTGGTTAACCCTTCCTATTCCATGAAAAAAGATCAGACCTCCTCCATATTCCCTCAATCCTCCTCCTCCATCCTGCTACAAGTAGGCAAGTCTTCAGAGCTGCCTGAGTGACAGGTACGACCCATGACTTGTCTGCCACTGAATGGGTGTTGTGTTTTGAAAGGAGCAGCAACTGTCAAGGGACTGGAGTGGGACTCGAGGGAGCTAAACACTAACAACAGACAAACACAAGCTGCTTATTGGCCTTTGGCTCCAAGTTCTGATGCCCCAGGTGCAGAGGGCTGAGCATGACCACAAAACGGCTAGTCCTGTGCAAGACAGAATCACAGGCTGATTGCCTTCCTCTCTCCCCAACTCAATAATTCTCTCCAGGCACTGGACCAGGGCTGCTAGCAGACAGAACCATCAACAGATCCTCAAAATGGGCTCAAAATGTGTTGGGCAAGCGCATCTGCACACGTACCACATCAGAGCCAGAGAATCCAAACCATGACTCCCCATTACTCTCCGCCATAGGACCCTCCATTCTCCACGATAAGGAATTGGCAACACCACCCAAGCCAGAAATGGTATCATCCTTGACTACACACACCTCACTTACTGCACCCAACTGTGGCCAAGTTCTGCTAAGTCTGGCTCCAGAATAGCTCTCAAACCTCTCCCCATCGCTCCACCCCAGTGCTAGACCCTAGACCTGCTCCCATTGCCCTGGGGCTGGATTTTGGAATTGCCCACTCAACAGGGGTTCCTATATTTAGGCCAACTTCCACAGTTTTCCAGAGTGAGCCATAAAGATCTTCCTTGAAAATTGCACACAAAAATTTGCAGGAGATGTAATCCCAGCACCTGAGAGCTGAAGCAGGAGAATCGTTGCAAGTTCCAGACCAGCCTGGGCTACATAGCAAGACTCTGTCTCAAAACAACCAAGGCCTGGAGATAAAGTTCAGCAGCAGACTAGCATGTGCAAGGCCTTGGGTTTGATTCTAAACTCTGAAAAAAAGTATGCAACAACGTAGTGCTAGCATAAGCATAGACCAATGGAATAGAGTCCATAAATAAGCCGGGCACTGGTGACTCACGCCTGTAATACTAGCTACTAGGAGGCAGAGATCAGGAGGATCGCAGTTCGAAGCCAGCCCAGGCAAATAGTTCCCGAGACCTTATCTTGAAAAAAACCCTTCACAAAAGTAGGGCTAGTGGAGCGGCTCAAGGTGTAGGCCCTGAGTTCAAACTCCAGCACTGCAAAAATAAATAAATAAATACATAAAATGGAATAAAGATCTAAAAGTAAGAACTAAAATTTAAAAACTCATAGAAGAAAATATGGGAGTAAATCTTCATGACCTTGGATTTAACGATGGTTTCTTTTTTTATTTTTTTTGTTATTTTATCTTATTGTTTTTGCATTTACTTACATGTATATACATCATTTGGGTCACCTCTTCCCCTTCCCCCTCCTCCCCCACAAGGGTTTCTTAAATGTGGTGCCAAAAACATAAGCAACAGAAGAAAAAATAGATAAATTGGCTTCATCAAAAGTTAAAACATTTGCCAGACTCTGGTGGCTCACACCTGTAATTCTAGCTACTTGGGAGGCTGAGATTAGGACAGTCACAGTTAGAGGCCAGCCTGGGAAAATAGTTCAAAAGACCCATCTCCAAAAATAACCAGAGCAAAATGGATGTGAGGTGTGGCCCAAGCAGTAGAGTGCCTGCCTAACAAGCACAAAGTCCTGAATTCAAACCCCAATCCCACCAAAAAAAAAAAAAGTAAAAGCTTTTGTGAATCAAAGGATACTATCCACAAGGGAAAAGGCAACCTACAGAATGTTAAGATCTATCCTCTTAACATAGTTTAAAGTACACAATATCATATTGTTAACTATAGGCACTCTGCTGTACAGAGCTCCAGAACTTTTATTCATCTTGCAAAACTGAAACTTTATACTCATTGAGTAACCACTCCCCCTTTCTCTTCCTTCTGTAACTGATTTTTTTTTTGGTGGGACCAAGGTTTGAACTCGGGGCTTCATGCTTGAAATGCAGGCACTCTATCACTTGAGTCACACCTCCAGTCCATTTTGCTCTGGTTATTTTGGAGATAGGGTCTTTCAAACTCTTGCCCAGGCTGGCCTTAAACCAAGACCTTCCTGATCTCAGCCTCCCAAGTAGCTAGGATTACAGGTGTGAGTCACCAGTGCCCTCCTTCTAATAACTTAATTTTTTAAAAAAATTGCTGAGCAAGGTATTACACATCTGGGGGCCAGGGCATGGCTTAAGTAGTACAGCACCTGTCTAGCAAGCACAAGGCCCTGAGTTCAAACCCCTGTACCACCAAAAAAAAAAAAAATTATCACACATCTGTAATCCCAGCACTCTGGAGGCTGAAGAAGGAATATTATGAGTTTGAGGCCAGCCTAGGCAACACAGCAAGACCCTGTCTTTTAAAAAAAATTTAAATTTAAACTTGCTGGATGGACCTGATGACAGAGGGTTGAATTAGTGAACTTCAGAATGGATCAATAATTTACCTAATCTGTAAAACAAAGGGAAA